CCCGAAATTGGTAGAGAAAAAGCATCGTACATACAGAAATTTCCGTTGCAGAGTAAATGACGAAAAAGCATCAAGCCATGTTTGTTGTGGTCATATTGTAATAAAAAAAGAATAATGCTTTAACAAATACTAAGAGGCAACCGGCTTTACTGCCTCCGACACGTAAGATCGCTCAGGCGGACAGCTCTCCAATAGACTTTTTTGTTGTCTACAGTAGAAGGTTAAATATCTCTTATTCTAGAGGATGTCGCAACGGAAAATACGGTATGACGCGACTATCTATCAGAAATTGTATCCAGCTTTTAAATTTTGCATAGATACGACATGTTGATCGCACCAGCCCTTGATGTGATCTTCGCAGAACTGCTACAACGCCAGGGTGGCCAAAACAGTTAGAATTAAAGAAAGCTCCAAGATTAGAAATCGTTATGGCACAGGAAACGGTCGAACAGAAATAGGACCAAGCTGTTTTTTTAGCTTTTTTTGATGCATCAAACACAAAGTATATTTCGAAAAAATGCAGTCGCTTACAAAGTAAGGCTAAATTTTTATTTAATCGATATCGTTTCGGAATCAGACAGACTTTCATCACGTCGATCTGAACACGGCTAATACGTCCAATTGAAGTTCTCGATAGAATCGCTTTCAAAACATCCTCAATGTCAATGTTGTCCCCCCTTTCTGAAGTGTCTTTTTAAGTAAATAACTCGATTACGACTGACACAATCCTATGCACCTGTACCCTTTTTCACATATACAAAGCGCTCTGGTCGTGCCTATGAAGTTCACGGACAGCGTTTGATTGGGGCGCTAATCAAGTAATTCATACATCCACTGGAAGCAGTCGTCTCGAGGACACTCGCTTGACTCCTGGCCATTGAAGCTAGAAGAAAAAGAACCGCATTGAAAGAAATCTTCTAGAAATCGTGTTTACGTTTCCACAACTGCTATCGCACACGATTACTGGTTTGACCACGTCTAAATCTACTGAAAGCCGTTAAAAGAAACCGTGCTACCCACGGTCGTGGCACGCGATTTGCTATCATTCAGTCGTTCCTCGCTAGAAAGTGTTTGTGATCTGGACTCGCAGGAAATGCCAGTGCATCAGCACCGACGACTTTCTGCTCAGTCGGATTCTTCTTTTCTTTTTTTTTTTTTCAAACACTGTCATTTATAAACGTATGTCTCTTTCGCGTGTGTGCGTGTTTGTAAACGTGACCCGCAAAAGCTTACGTCGACCCGTTTGCCAGCACAACGCTATCGCCATACCTACATATATTAAAGGGTTGGTCAGAAAGATTGCACTTATACTAGCGACTTCGGTTTCGACCGATCGCAGTGTTAGTGGCTCAAAATGAGTGAGAAAAACTGAAGCCCTCGTTGGCTGATCGTATATCGTGGGGCCAAGAAAGTATAGGTGGGGGTTATGTTTAAGTGGAATAACAAAAAGAAAAGAGTATTTTAAGGCGATAGCAAGTGTCTGTGTGTAAGACCATTACCTGGCTACCGTTGCGGTAACGCCTTTTACGATTAACCTTTCCCCTGCGGCGACGGACGTCGATGGGGTTCTGGGGATGCTTCAAGAATTTCGAAGGTTAGCCGGGCCAGGGGATCCAAGCTATTATGACCGCCGCAATATAAACGTGGTAGCCCTGTTATCAGCCGTCAACAAGAGGAGAACCGGCATGCTTCTGCGTTTGCCGTTAGCGCTGTTATTGGCGTCGTTCACAGAACGATACGTACGGTCAAACAGATCAATAACACTTCAGCATAGAGATGAGAAGCAGATAGCATGATCAGAAGCTGATGCAAGGGGCTCGATAGGAAACGATTTTGGATGTTGGCTTTGCCTTTTCTAGCATGCTGCTATAGCAACCGGTTAGATATAGTAGTGATAAGAATTTTTGTTATTATTTTTGATATTGAGACATTCATAGATTTCAGTGGGCGAAGAGTTGACCATCGATCGTGGGTCGCTTGCTCTCGGCATCAAAGGCCATACAGTTTTCTGTTGGTATTTGTTTCATCTTTTTTTTCGGCTTGATAATGCCCTGCCCGGTGCGTTAATAGGCCAAGTGCGATCGTGTGCTCTGACTTCCATCGTAACAAAATGTTTATCGCGGTCTGCACGCACGGCGTACGATTCAAGTTACGACTTTCGTAGCAGGACCACCGTCAGGCTGGTAATTCCAATTGTGTAATCAACTCAATTAAGCCGTATGAGGACTGCGTAGAATTATTACTATTATTTTTCATACGCACCATCGTAAGTAGAAACCATAAATGCTACTTTTAGTGCTACCGAACTAACTAAGTAATTCGGGGAGTCTCGTACAGCGTATTTTGTATTTATACCAACCAATCAAGACGTTGATCAGGTTTTATCGCAGCTATTACACGTTTGAATTACGTAGGCTTGTGACTTAGCTGGCAAAGGAGCTGTTTACAGATCTTCACTTATTTGTATACGCCCGTTTCATACGTCTGCCTCTTCACATCCGGATCTGTAGACAGAAGCTGTGCATACGACAATATCACGTTACTGTTGAAATCTTATTATCAGATGTAGCCGCCTATGAAGAACTCGCCGAAATGTTCAGATCCAGTTGTCACTGACGATGATGGCAGTGGTCTTGCTGGACATTAGTTATTAATCTACACATGTACACAAGGTGGCGGCACGCCACTCTGAACGTGATTAGTGACATATGTATATATATATATATATATATATATATGCAGAGGTAAAATCCATTTCGCTATGGGCGTTCCTTTTTTTTTTTGTTTACCATCCTTGTAGAAAGTTACCGCTCACCTATTTTTCACGTTGTGGTTCGTATATGTCAAATGCCCATTGAGCAAACAGGTCAGTCGTCTAGCGAGAATATATATATATATATATGCGCTATCTGTCTGATCTTCATTAGATGGAAGTAGCACTACTATCTATTCGTATTAGGCTGTATTGCATTTTGAGCGCACCAAGTACGAGAAGGAACAATCCGAGGCCCATTTTTATTAGGACCATTGACACACTACAGCTGGCCACAATGGGTTTGCAGCTGTCTAATAGAGAGAAAAAAGCAAATGGCACTTAACTGCATTAATGACCCGGTTCAACATGTGTTGAAAACTATTCTAGTGCCCCTTTTCGTCAGCATTATTCTCGGGGGTTGGGGGTGGGGGCTGGAGGGGTCTGATCAACATAATAAAACATGATATATATATATGCAGAGCAGCTGATTTTGCGCCTTATTATTTTCAGAGTAAAAGGGCAGAATATGGCTGACGCTAGATGTCTATCTGCTGTTATCCAGGATAGCCAATGCTTCCGTAAACAGCTGGAACCTTTTAGTAAACTTCGGGCAAATTATTATGTGTAATAAAACCGCAGGTGGCACTCCATTTTTCTTAAGAGTCAGCAAGCAGTTCTTGCCTTGCCGTACTTAGTGTATGCCAGGCACGTTCTACGGACACAGGGCGTCAATCAGCATTCATTCATAAAGCTATCCGGAGTAGTAACAGCAGATACATGCGTCGAGCGAACGTGACACATATCGCTAGACGATATTAATTAGGCCTTTAGATTCATCCTGCTAATTGTAAGGCATCTGGGCAAGGTATCGTAAATCGAAGCGGGTTCCGCGACGTCACGAACGAAACGTTTCAGTTTCCCTGTCTAACTGCCAATATAAGAGTGCATCGCAGCCCACAATAGACTTAATCGCGCGTCTAATACGAGTGATCTCAATTGAATTATACAACTGATCTTTTTAATGAATTCACTGTACCCGATGCCTTGGCATACATCAACGGGCTCTGGACAGTTCCATAATAGAACGACCATTCTATGTTTTGTTGAATGGTTGTACCACCGAACTGTTTTCACAAGACGTGAAATATTAATAGTTATAGACCGTAAACAATCAGACGGACCTCATTACGATAGACAGTCGTTAGTGTCAATGGACGCTCTTGCAGGCCAAAGGCCCCCCGCATTTGTCTATATGTGATATTTTGCTTGGAAAAGGAATACATGTGTGTTTGCGTGTTTATAGATCTATTGTTCGTTTAGACGTGTGGTGCGCCGATGTCCACTTGCGTAACGATTAGAAAATCAGCCGGCAGACGCTTTGTAGCGACGCCAATGAAGGCGTCCAGCAAAAGCAAGACGTGTAAAGGCCAATCGGATCCATTACTTAGCTCAGCATGTGATATCGTCGATTAGAGAACATAAATAAGAGGTGCTTACTTGAAATTTACTACTACTACTACTAGATAAACGATTAAAGTGTTATGTAATTCGCCTGACGGCATAAGTAGCTGCATCGATCCAGAAGCAGAAGATCAAACGAGGAAGATGTACGCGTATTTAGTATAGTTTTGCTGACAATATTTGCTACTACTGGAGACGTCAAACGGTCTATCTAGCAGTGACTTAATAGAGAAGATCGGACAGAATATGGACACTAGACGAACAGAATACATCTTAAGTAAATAGATAATTTAATTACTACAATAGCTGGTACGGCATCAAGTGTCTCTTGTAGTGTGTACCATTATAGGAAGCCAAACAGAAAATGAAATATAGTGACGAACTAAACCTGTAAAGCTACTGTCGGGTTTTCGAACAGAAAACTGCGCGGATCGTTCCTCCCCACGTGGTGGTGACTCAAGAAAAAATTGGTTAAAGAAAATAAACGGAACAAAACGTGCTTATTTGTGTTTTCAGATCGTCCGTTTTATAGCTTGGTCTAACCATGTTCCCCTGAGCAATATCTGATGAAACCATATATCCTTCAAAGCTGGCCTCAAAGAACCCGTACCAAGCCCCCTAGTAATATCCGCTTCTAGGAAACAAAACATAGGTTCCTGGACGCCAGTTGTTCCTCTTATCTGATCTCGTTCTGATAAGATCAAGATTGAAGTGAAGATTGAATTGAAAATTGTGGTCGGTAACAAACTGCTACTAACTTAACATATAACATGATTTCTTTCAGTTTTGGTGGTTGTGCGACGTGGCTAGTCCTGCAGCTGGACAGAAATCACCCTGCGAAGACCCTGAACAAGACCTCAGCAGCCTTACCGATGTCATTCAGGTATATGGGTGACCTCAGTGGACCGTTCTGACAAATGACCAAGCTACCAAATTGTACTACAAACATCAACTGTTTTACATATAGTTATGTTGTTTTTTTTTTTGGTAAACCGGATGAGTGGCGTCATATGAATGGAATGTCAGAGAATTCGTTTTGATACATACGATGTGATGCGCGCTGCATACGTCCAAGTAATGTAGCACCCCCTGTTAAACGGGGTGCGGGGGGGGGGGGGGAATAGTTTTGTACACTGCTGTTGCTATGGGCAGCTTGTAACGCCATTCGGCGAATGGGCACTAAAAATTATGATAAAATGTAGGTTAATAGGTAGTTGTGTCAGGACTTATGTAATAAAGACAACTCACTTCGATATCGCAATTTTTTTCTTTTTAGTCAAAGAAGTAATATGACTTAAGACAAGTGAGGATAATGACAATAGGTGTTCGTATTAGATGCTTTAGAATAAAAATGGCATGTCATCTATGCTTCTCACTGTTCGTGGTAGCACTCGACTATGTCAATTGTAAATAGTGGTACATTTCTGTGCAGGACTTTGAGGGCACCCTGCACTCGTCATACGAAGACAACCCAGATACGACAGGAAAAACCGACCGAACGGGAAAAGCAATGTGTCCTAGAAAAGGAGCCCCTCAACGTTACCGCGAGGGCTCCCTTGAACCGATTCTCCTCGAAAAACGCTTACCTCCGGATGGTGGTGACTCCATTAGCGAACTTAAGCTCAATACAAAGGTAAGCTTGCTTAAAAAATTATAGACAAGCTTATTAAGAAAAATAAAGTAAATATTTTGTGCTTACTGGACGTGAACACTGCATCGGGGGACTTTAATCAACAATATTCTAGGTTTGGGATCGACCCAGACTCTGCTGAACTATCTTACCGCCGCATAAACCCATTATATATATATATATATATACAATGTACTTAGTTGTAGGCAATTGCTCTTAAATGTCATGTACAAGCGTGCAAAACCTCTAAATAGAATAGGTCACAGTAGAAAATGATGGTGCGTCTCACACTGCTAACTGTTTTGATGGTTCACTATGATATCGACAGCTCTGAGTAACAGGCATAGGTATCTGTAATTTAGATTAAAGTGTTAATCTCAGCTAAATTCAGTTGAAATAACAGAATCAACATGGGAAAACTATCGAAGTAGGCAACGATGCATTTCGCTACTTTGGAGGATGGGTAAACGAGGTCCTAAGCATATTAACATAAATAAAGTGACGGCATAGACAAGATCTGCCTAAAACCTGAATGCCGTTTATATGAATGGAGCAGTCATTTCATAGAGATGCTGCTCCTCGACCCAGAGCGGCTGTCAGCGAACCGCAAGGAAGCCGTAATGCTAAACCGTCTACGAACCAATGGAGATGTATCGTTGACAAAGAAGCTTGTTTGATACAATTAACCGTACTCAATCTTACCGTGAATGGTCATTCTACCTAAACGGAGATTCCCCTGCAATTAACCGCACTAAGAAAACCCCACGAGCCATTCGTAATCAACGTACCTCCATGAATAACTTGAAATAAAATTACATCCTTTTTATCAGACTGAGTGATATTTTCGAGTATTCGATAGAGGCATATTACTTCATTATATCAGCAAACCGATAATCAATGTAAAAGTCAAGCGGTATGTGTGTTCCGCAGGCCTTTGGATGTCGGTGGGCATCTACTATGTCTCGGAGCCATTTTGGAATGGCCGAAACAAGTCTGATTAGAACTGATACGTGCTGCTGTATCAGTCCTTCAATGTTGACAAAAAGTGTCAGCGTATGACGGTAGATAACTTACGGCTTGGTGTACTATATTGCATAAAATAAAATCCTCTCCTGAGGATATCCTCGGAGTTCTTTGCGTGATATATCATATCAAGGATGTCGGGTCCTTTCTTTCCTCATTACGAATATCTCTCACAATATGCAGAAAGTATTCAGCTCTCATATCATATTTAACTCACAGTCATGCTATTATTTCAGCTCGTATTGCTACAACTATCGAACTTGTTTTACTGTATCATCATAGACGACTGCGAGATTTGCCCCTGGCTTCTATAACTACATGTAGTGTAAGGGCATTACTGGAAAACTATATCGATTTCTAACGCCTCAGCTCTTCCGGTGTCGCACAGTGGAGCCCTGTGCAAACTGTCATAGCTTACATTTAACCTGCTATCCATGCAAACAAATTAGTGAAGCCATAGTATCACGTCTAGGCGTGGCATAGTTGGCAAGACAGCGGCCTGAAAGGAAATGGTCTTTGATGGTCAATGGTGAAAGGTATTCGATTCCTATCGTGTCAATAGTGATAAATTTTTTGATGAAGTTTTATTTTTTTTCCGGTATTGTTCCGCGTTAGATTTTCTCGGCACTGAACTTAGCAGCGCCAATCTTAGGACCTGTAAGAACATATCGAACCAGTGTAACAGGCGTCTCTTTAGACGTAATGTGAAAATACTAACTTCGAAATTCCGAAGCTGTACGTGTTCCATCCTTTACCTGAAAAATGTTTATACTGAACGTCTAGTGATCTGAACGTATGTTTGTTCGCTGACCCATGACTTGAATCTCCAAATTTTTGTTGTTGATTACTATATTAAACGATTTCATTCGATATTTAATTTATACAGACGGAAATAAGCTCCGTTATGTAGAGAAGATTGCGTCACTGTGTAAACGGTGACGACGTCCAGCGCAATGGGCGACACGAAGTGCGAAACATTGGTTTTCTGATCAGAGATTCTGCCTTTAGGCATAATAGTTGACCCAATAATTTACTATGGTGACGATATTTCTGATATTGTAGCAGTGAAAGAGTCAGTTGAGGGACGAAGATCAGGATCTAAGCAAATTATTTGCCTCCTTTTTTGTAATAGCCACATTCGACTGGATGTGTTTATCATTATATATCGAACATCAAGCGTTCTTTGTTGCTTAGCGGCTCTGATGGTGCTTGCCCCTCGGTACAGAAGCTCCATTTATAGTTATCATTGTTATTCTACATATGTTTATATTATATGTAGCGCGTCAGTAAGTGGGTATTACGAACTTCTTACACAACTGTATGTACGCGTTTTACTCATCTAAACGGCATAATTCTATGTTTGTTTTGTTACTGATACGAAATCTGTGCTCTACTCTGTACGCTAAAAAATTGCATAGGCTTAGCCATTGTGTTTCAAATGTATGCTTATTCTATATTTCTGCTAGATCTGCTAGTAATATGGAGGGTAGTTATTAAAATACATAGGTCTTCCATATGGTTATATATGGTGCTTTTGACGTTTTGTCCTTTTTGTCTATAAAACCTGGAAGCTTAGCCGTATAACTTTATGTTAATATATTTAAGCTGTGAGCTCGTATAAAAATAACCTTTGAGTGGGTCTGGTAGAGGACAGCCCATTGATAGCTGGATTAGATTCAGCAAATTTAATTGAGATTTTATTTATTTCTTTTCGATTAAGTTACCAAGATCGAGCAGCCGCTAGATAAGCGTATTGCTAATCTTATCACATACTACTGGTTTACGGTTTTCAGCGCACCCTTACTTTACCTAATTTTAGCTACTAGTTGACGTAAAGTAGACTTAGAGCAGTTTCCCATCAGATCATGATATTGCAGCTGACGGAGGAGCAGTGCCGTCGCCACGTCTACTCGGAAGAGGAACAGCGCAAAGCCGAACAGCTCCTGGATATGATTTTTGGCGATGGCAAACTTGTTGAGGAGATCGAAGTCGATGACGCTGATTATAAGGATGGTGGACATCGGCGGAAGTCAGCTAGAAACGCCGACGTTTCAAAACAACGTAGTGACTCTGTCAGTTCCTCCGAATCGATCAACACGATATCCAGCCTTAATTATCCAACTTCATCGAAAGTAAGTTGAACGGAATATGGCATATAAAGGGTTGATTAAATTAGCGCTAAATTTCATGGTGGCTTAGTTAATCAGTTAACATCTGCTGCAGACCCATTACGCTCAGCTTTTACAAGCAAAATATATTGCTCCCTTCCTTCGATTGCATCATCAGTTATTACGACGACTGCCGCCCCATTCTCACAACGAATGTGTGGGAGCCAACAGACGTATTGCTATATAATACACTTCTACTTGAAGTTAGCTTTCTCTGTCTGTATCGCATGGGGTGTAACTTGTTCATCTCGCGTCACGCTTATATATGCTAGATCGTATAAAACTGGGTGTGGTTTCAATAGCTGACGATTTGTTTCTACAGTATTGAAGTAAAGCCATCGATTTACCATGCATAATATTCCGTGAGTCCGATGTAATTGCTGAGGAAGAGAGGGAGCTGCCAAGTAACTGCTATCTTTCTCCAATGCTGGCTTTTACTTACCTGTTACTTTAACAGAGCAGCGCATCACGGCAGCTCGAAGCAACGATGGCCTCACTGAATCCGGCGGGGTCAGAGTTTGCTGAGCGAAGCGTTTCGTTTGCTGCTTCTAAAGATTTGGACAGTCCACTAAAGACTCTGGGAGATCTGGTAGGTTCCGATAGGTCGGCTTCTTGGCTTGCTCCATATGGGTCGACCCGTGTCACGATCGATCGCGCAGTTCTGGCCAAAATTCGTGATCAGTTGTCGGCATGTCTTGTGAAAATGCGAGATCTGGAACTTCAGGCAAAGAGCGTCCCTGTGCTGCAGGTATGCTGGCTTTTTCTAACCGCTCTAACCACCAGGGTAACGTAGACTTCGAATTGCAATCGTACTATTGTACTGCGCTGTTTGTTCGATGATTTCCCTAACTATTTGCAATGTGCCTCGCTAGATTCATCAAGAATGGGTAGAGTATACTGAAGTAATTGCATCGATATCTAATTCGGTGTTAATTATTCGATGCATCAGATTCATAATATATCTTATTCACTTTCGCAATGTCATCGTATCATCGATTCATCATGCTAAACTATCCTCATAATGAAGAAAAGCGCCTTTCTGACAGTTCTCTCTTTTTCCCGCTGGATAACCTGTCTGCCACTTACCATTGACAAATTGCATCAGGTAAAAATGTCCGTTTTGAAGGAGGAAAAGCGTTTGCTTAAACTTCAGCTTAAAGCAAAGAACAACCTCCGAGACGGTAAGGCCGACCCTGGAGCTCACGAACCTCCTCTGTCGAGTAGAACAGGCATGAGTGCTGCGGGTTCATTGCTATCTGTAGCATCGACTAGCAGATCTCATCCCGGTGATGAGAGTTCGCGAAGTCAGTCGAGGCTACCCACAACAGCAGATACGATTCACCCTCCTCCCCCACGACCATCAATGAGCGTCCAAAGCCCTGTCGGATCCCGGGGACCATTGCTTCCCAAGCTCGAACCATTGAAAGTTGAGGAACTTCCGTCGTCCACTTCGGCCATGTCGCCGATTCGACCGTCTAAGCTTGAGGCACTAGAGACTGGTGTAGCAAGGGTTATGAGAGGTCGTAGATCAGTAGCAGGCGGTGGGCCGGATGAGACTGAAGCAGATTGGTCCGGGGTCCACGAGAGTGCGACCGGCACATCACTCAAGGATGAATTGTGGCGCGAAACGATGCAGGAGCCGAAATACAAAAGCGACCAGAAGGGAATCAGTGGCCGTGCTTCAAATAAGATCCTCGGAGATTATCTAGCCAAAGCATCCGTTAATCCAGAGCCATTAATTATTCCTGGGTAAGTCGATATCAAATCCTAAAACCGATAACAATAATAATAATAATAATAATAATAGAGTGTGATTTTAAATATGAAACGCCCGCGACGTACGTGCTTATCAGGTCGCTTTGAGTCGGTAACCAATGTTAGATTAACTGTTCCAAAAAGTAACGTTTCTAGCTTTACACATAATTGTACATAATTGTTATGTTAATTTTAGTGCTACACAGGCTCCTAGCTGCGTGGCAGACGGCTATTTTTGACTTAATTTCCAAATTGCTACTTGGAAATTTACTATGCATTTTTTATGTGAACGTTAGCTACTATCATCATACCGGAATAAACTGTTGTACGGAAACGCAAAGTCGTTCCACCCCTATGGAAGGCGCGCAGAGACGTACCGCCGAGCCTGAGTCCGTATCGCCTTTGCCTGTTCCTTTACGCGAGGATCGAGCTGAATCGCAGATGAAAACGCTGTGCGACGAATGTCAAAAGGTAGGACACTAATCAAAAGAATTGAATAAAGCTATTTGCAAAATGTCTTAGTATAAGGTCCATTTTTGGGTTAGCTAAATTTGATTTCCATTGTGGCTGCATAGTCATATAGAAGTAAACATCAAATACAAGTTACCTAAAAATCCCAATTTCAATATCAGACCATAAATTTTAATACCTAGATTTCGGAATATTAACTAACTAGCTTCAGGTATGGTTTCAATTTGCGTAGGCTGCAAGTCGACGCTCGAAAGGACACAGGCCAATTTGAAACAAATAATTTACGAGCCCATAATATGGAACAACTGGATCATCGGGGTTTTTCGTACAGTAGCTAAACAGGTTGACTTTTCCAGGATTCGATCCGGCTAAGGAAGGATCCTCGGACAAGCGCGACACAGACTACGGCGGTAACACCAAGAGACTGCGTTGAGTGCGTGGAACGCCGCAAAAGACAGCTACGTTCGACAGCCGTTAACACTGACGTAAGGCCGATAACACCCGAACCCCTGAGGAAAAGTGCCAAAGAAGCTTTTATCTTAGACATCTGTGACGGCACCCCGTTCACTCCCAAAAGGTGTCAATTCTTGAAGTTCCTAAGAGCTAGTAGTCGATGGACCGGTTAGCAGGCGAAAGCTAGTCGCTTCTAGAACAAATAAACTGGTCATGGCAAATATATCATTTTCAAAATTCGAGACAAGATTAGCCACTATCTGATCTTTTCGCTTTCGCTAATAATAGGAAAAAACATTGACAGTCTACATTATTGCCAGTTTTCATGTATGAAAAAAATTATTTTATCAAGCAAACCCCAAGGGGTTTTTTATTTGAATGGATTGAAAATTAACCGCATTACTTCTGAAGAATCTATCAATTGCCAATTGCGCCGTCCAGGTAGGTCAGTCTTTTTGCGACTTATGAATTTTCTGGCCGTTTCAATCTTTTGCATTTTGTAAACTTTTGGCCTGTTAGCAATCTAAAATTTTCTATGTGGCACATTCAAACGACATTTTAACAAAATTTACCTAACGATATAGTTTGAAGTACGGAGCATTTATTTGCGAGCTAAATAAGAATAAATATTTTGTAAGCTATTAGTAGAAGGTTTAGATTCAGGATTGAATCATCAGAATGAACATTTTAACGTAAAAATATCTATTTTTGTTCAGATACAATCTGAGAAGGTACGGGTAAAAAAAGGCCGAACACAGGCACGCCATTTTGTGTAAAGAAGCAAACGTATTTTGAGTTCGGCTGCTACCGTCGAAAGCAGAAGACAAAACCTTGTTTTTCATTATGATATTGCTATAATGTTTCCTGTGCAGCATTTTCTCAATTTTGCAAACCGTTTTAACTTCAGTACATCATTTTGCGCCGAATGTGATCGTCGTCGGTCAGTTCGAAGTTATTCAGTTGGCTCAGCTACCGAAACTCCACGTACGCGGGACTCCAGCTGTGATCCTCTTCCCGAACTCAAGCCAGTATTTAAGTATGTTTTTGATCGATTTACGTAACTTCATAGATATATATATACTTGGCACTAATATATGTGCAGAGGCGTGCGTTGGCCGGAGGAAAATGGATCCATGAAATATAAATCGGATATTATGACAATCGTTGTAGTGTGACCTATCATTCTGGGTGTACTAAATAAACAAAAAAAAATCTTGGATATGTGTTGTTACTTAAACGGCGTAATGTCAACAGGAAGTCCATTTGTATAGTACAACTTCTTCAATATGGCCAGTCATCAGGAAAGACACAAACCACCAGATATAGCAGCGCCATATTTCACCAATACATCTCTATACTGGAATATGGATAAAACTTGTCGTAATGTTCCCGCTATATGACCAGCGTTCGTGGGGTATATTCCGTTAGCCAACCGCGAGACGAGTTTTCAAAGTAAAGAACGCATATATGGTAGTAGAATTGTTCGAAAAAAAAACGGTAAAAATAGTATTCTTGTTTTTTTTTTTCTATCTGTTTTTCACAGGAAAACCCCGCCGACACCGCCACCGAAACCAGCGGCCTTTACTCGTGGCGTTGCTGTTCAGTGTAGCACCTCGATCACCGTTTCACAGGCTGTTCAGGTACGGCCTTCTTAACGACCTGGTCAGATCAACTCTAATCGGTATAGGTAGCTCTTGTTTTTTGATCAACGGCGTTATTCAGCGAAGATCGTGGTTAGTTTTGGAGGCTTATTCGAGAAGAGTTAAAGAAAGCATATCAATGTATTGAATCAGGGCAGAGCTCCGCACCCGGCTTACATGAAGTGGGCTTTAGTCTAATCTTGTCTATAAACAAATAGGCAGATAGACAGACAAATTATCTATTTACTTTGTAAGTGGCCATTTGTGCGAACAAACGTAGAATAACGATCTTCACTGAGACTGTGACTATTCATCGATGCATTTGTACACGATAGCTATTGTGCTGGCCGGAATCAATGAAAAACGTGCTACACGACGTACCGATTTTAAGTTACATATATGCCTTTGTCACAACCACAATGTTCCAGGTTCGATGCGTAGTAACTACTGTATAAGTTAATTAGATTTATACAGTTACTATCAGTTCAGCGTGAAGTTTACATTTGACCAAGACGAACATTTTTGACGTTCTTTTATGCTCGTACATCCCTGTTTTTCCATGTATCTATCCTCTATTCTGGCTCTCTGTTTATCCATAGTCGATAAGGGTCGTTGCCAGGAAAACAGCATATCAAAATAAGGATTCGTAAAGGATAACTGACACGTCCCTAACATCAATCATTTAATGCATAGTGTTAGTCTAGCGTTCTTGTAACTGCCCTACCCGCGTCTCGATAGGTGACGCCTGAGCGAGTTCGGACGCGGCATGTCGGCGCTCAGAGCGATTGGCGGGCTTGTCAACGAGCGCAAGGAACGCAGACTCGGAGGACTGAGAACGAGCGCTCGAAAAAACTCGACACGAACTCCGTTGCGAGCGGCGACTATGATGTGCGACACGCCGTTTGCGACTCGTGCGCTCATAGGCGTCTGCGGTCCATAGGAACAGGTCAGTAGCAACTCATTTCAGGTAGACACATCTGACGACACGCTTTGTTACAGCGTATGCTGGAGGAGCTGACCGCAGCTGCTGAACAGGCCGTTACGAGATACACTTATTCCATCCAAATTAGCTAATTCTATAAAGAACAGAAGTTTGATATTGAACCGTCATATATATGCTAAAGATACTAAGAACATGTTTAATTTGAAGGTGCTACCTGCTCTTATTATCTAATCTGCTCATTTAACGTTTGATTCACGCAGGCGACGTTGCCGTCTACGATACGTGCTGTAATCGTTGCGCCGTATTTAGTAAATGCGATGGCGCTGTTCAGTGTGAGTTGTTAACGTCGGAGGCCAGTGATGGAAGCGTCTCAAGAGCAAATCACCGAGGAATTCAAAAAATCGAGATGAAGGATCAGGAAGTTCTTACCGATGACTCGTACTGTGACGAAATCACTGAGGTCAGTGATGGCATCTAGTGCTTCCAAATGAATGTTTGGTTGACTTGGATACTTTTTTTTTTTTTCGTAGATATTTAATATTGATATTCTATCGAATGAAATGTCCCCTCTGACCCCTTATATTTTCACATCGTAATGAAAATATCAACCTGTTCTAGCCATATTACGATCGTGGGCGTAACGTTGGCCTGCTCATGATGCCTGCGTCTCTTCAGCAGCTGGCTAGCGTTGCTCACGATGGTATTTATCGATATACGACTAACAAAGTGAGCCGCAAATGTGGAGCGCGGGGCGATTAAGGTCTGTAACCTTGCAGTGGCCATCTAGAGTAAAGATGGGGCTCTCCCCAAGTCAGCATATCTTCCATTTTCCCAATAATGGTAATTTTTTTACTGGTTAATTAATCTTTCGCAATTCTGCAGCCATAGTGTCACAGCAATTCAGCTACAGTATTGGCGCTATTCGATAATGGGTCTGGGGTGACCTGGGTCGTCCAGCACAGATTATCCCTTTCTCAGGCTACTAACAACAAATGATAGCTTTATGTTATGTTTAAGTGTAGAAAGTATGGTGACTGAGATGGCAGTATTACATTAGACAATGTCCGTGCAGTAGCAACAATGACTGGCCATATTTGTAGGTATTGGTACGCTAATTTTTTCAAAATATTATTCTTTTACCTACATCTGCTAACTAAATTATACGATTATATGTTAGTGTTTAGCTGAGCTTGCAAACGAATTACTTTTGATCCTTTCGAGCTGTTGTTATGATAGGCAGCTTATCGATTCGTTGATACGATCTCCATATTGCAACCTTGCTAAAGCATGATCTTGTCAAAGGTCAGCTGAATGCGAACGTTTGTACCCTGGTCATCTCGTGGGAGTAGAGGCCACCATCAATAGGGTTCATCATTTTTAACCTGACGCGTGTTAAAGCGGCACAGCTTTGCGCGCAGTTGACGCAAAACAATTATCTCGAAGCGTAACGTTTGAGTCGCGTTCGTATCCCGTTACGTAATCGATTCAGGTGCCAATGTATCGGCATCACAGCGTCTGGCCTTAACAACGTCCAACAATTCGTGAATACGTTTGCATATATTTTATAGCGTGCGAACGTTGTAAATGTTCGTAAAAGGAAGACAGATCGTAGACCGACAAAATAAACAGGATTTTTTTTTTGAAAGCACAGCCAGAGTCGCAGTGCCTCTTCCCAAACTGACCGACAACGGTTTGTTTGTTGACCCAACAAATTATCCCTTCAGCGTAAGACTCTCGATGCAAACGTTTCCCTTATGTGTGCTTCCAAGAAGACGAGTCCTGGCCGGTCATACTCTGTACGCCGGCTGCTGGTTGCTGCCGTATCCGTTTTTATACTCGTACCATACCTCACGTTAAAATGCCTCCATTTCACTCTTCAGCTAATCGCCATTCCATGTGAGCGGTGCGATGTGGAACGACGCGACTTCGGCTTTGGAGATGAGGATGTTTTTGCGGCAGAAACAAGGTTACAGGTAAGACAAGCATACGCGATGTATAAATTAAACTGCGAAATATAACCGCAATACCAGCCTGCAGTTAGTTATGTAATTCCTTGGCTAGAGGACGTAACATTTTTTTCCGTCGAAAGGCACTTTTTACTGTCTTAGGTTGTGGAAAGTTCGGCAAATAATAAAACGTGGTATAATTTTTCCGGCTTCACAAATGTGTACCACGAATACTTTAAGCGCTTATCGTAGACGACCCAAGGTAACTGACGTCTGTAATCGACTGATCGTGCAGCGAGCAGATTGCGCCATCACATTGTCTGCAATAGTGTCAAGAGTAAGAAACTCCGTTACCTCGGCCGTGATGCACTAACATTAAATCCAATCGCCTTTTATAGGGTTGTCATTTCATAGGGAACGGAAATCAAATATGCGGGCCATGTTCATATGGCCTACGTATATAGGTTAGAAGAAACTCTGATCACATAGGCAAGTTCCGAGAGTTTTTTGAACGTGCTACACATGAGTAGCAAAATCCAGACAAGGGTTATTATAGCTGAATCTCACTGCTCACTTCTTTTCTATGAGCATCCCTTAGCCTCTGTCTGTATCACGGTCTGCTTTAAAAAACTGAGGATGATCGCAGCTATCTGCAGAAATTGGGAGCCTAATGGATCACTGTGCTAATCACTTGCCCAGATGTTTATTGGAGTACTATCAAGGCGTCTCCACGCCCGAACCCGAACCTAGGCCGCCTGTCGTGTCCTTAAGTTTAATAGGCGTCAACTTGATTACTGCATTATCACAAGGAAAGGTTCTGGAGGGACGCCGAAACGACAAGACTAAAGTTCGGAGCGAGAGTTATTAGCTTTAACAACGACTGACCGTCGGATATGTGAATCAACCACCAGACTAGTACGCAGAGGCTGACGCTCAGAGCCGACGTTGTACTCACGAGTATTTCCTGAAGCGTCAAAACCTTCAAAAAGTTGCGATCATATACCAATCATCTGTACTAACCAGTTGGACAACCCTTCTTAAATCCGTACCGCTGTGGATAGGGGAGTTGGTTTGTGGCTAGCAACTCGTTAATCTTATAAATATATAGGTTACTTAAAAGTCCCATAATTATGCACGGTGCTTTACAGGTTGTACCGAGGGCGCTTATTGCTACGGAGGAGGTGGGGGTTATGACGGACCATTCAATCATTGAGCCTCTGTCATTTCCACCAGCAGCAGCGGCCGCTCCAGGTGGAGTCGCCGCCGCCGCCACCACCGCCGCCGGCGGCACAGCGTTATCACGTACATCATCCGCCTCATCTATGAGTCACCTGACTGGAAATGTCCGCCTGTGCGACAAATGCAGCTGCGCCATTGAATCCGTGGCGAAGGATTTCATCGATCAGAACCTCGATCACCTCGTTGCCGAAGTCACCAACGATCCGCCTGTGCCAACTCTTCAAAGTCGCATTCCGAAACTTAGTCACTCCCGGGGCTCGCGCGCACCGCCGAGGCGAACAAAGCCGGCTCCGTTTGATAGCGTTTCGCGATCGCTACGTAGAGATGTTACGCCGTCAGCATCCACAGCGGCTCCTCTCAGCATCGGCTCATTAGACGACCAACCGATTTTGGCCAACCAAACGCCATCGATTATCCCGGGATCGATGGAGCGGCTTCCTGGAGAAAAGTGAGTACAATAGATACTTCGTTGAGGTGAATAAGTGTACTTACTTTGCAATTTATAGCAGAATAGACGTATCGATGTGCTCATTCCGACTTTAGTTCAGGTCTGACGCATCAAAGAGGTTCTCGTTGATGTCTATCTATCTGCGCATGTCTTCAGTGAACTTTCACGTTCTTCTGCATCTTTCACTTGCCACATTGTGACCACATATAGCTACCTACGTCATACTGAACTCGCTTTCAGTTCAGCGGTCTAGTAAACTGACGAGATATATACAAATTTGTTAAATGGTGTAATGTAGCAACCGTCGGAAAGCGGGAAATTTAACTTAATACTTTACGAAAATCAATATGTGACTATCCTAAGGGTATCAACATACCGTGTGTCACTCATATGTCCGCCATTAGATAATGCTACACGGCTGAGAAATCCTTCTGAATATTTAGAACTCAGAAAGTCTACATCGGGAACTGCGGTCGAACGTTGGACCAAGAAATGAATCTGTGTCCATATTATTGAATCCTGTTCTCACCTTAACTGTAATTCATGGTTAACCAGGCTTTACTGAGGAAACGAAGTAATCCTTAATTATTCGTGATGCTGCTCTAGATTTGCCTAAAGCTTTTTTTTTTTTTTATCAAACGAAGGCTTTGCGAGACGCTATAGCTATCTTTTAGTACTAATGACGAACGAGCTTTATTAACTTAAGCAACAATATCGTATCAACTCCTAATACACGTATTTAAGACGCAGGCCTTTGTAGCGTGACCAACTCAGCAGGTCGGAACAGCTGCCTGACCGTGTTTGCTACATTTGATTACCAACACATTCTATCCAGAATGGTTGACGCACATAGATTTATCAGGCAAATACACGCTGACCTCATACCTATGTCAACAAGGATCACGTTTTTTTCGCAAGAAGCATCCATCTGGTAATCGGTAAACTGTACTAGCTGCTTCTTTATAACCCTTGTGACTCACTATTTCTACTGCTAGTGCAACTGTTATCGCTATAGTAGACAATTAGCTGTATGTAGATGTAGCAATAACAACTTAGAGCTCTAACCTCGGTGATTTTCGCTTGGCTTATTTTTGCTAATTCTCCGGTGGCCTGCGTTTCACTACTGTATACAATCCCGAATGATCCTGATTGACGTGTCGTGGTCGCCATCGATCCAATTTGCTGTGATTTTCCTGTGATCGGTGCATCCCATGGATATATCCTGACAATGTTCATCTTGTCACCCAACTATTCGCCATGTGTGTGTGTGTGTGTGTGCGTGCTGTGAGAAAAATCAATAATTTTTACACTAATCAAAACAAAAACAAAAAAAAATCGCAAAGCAGAGGCACAAGTGATGGGTTTGATAGTGATCACTGCCTGTCGTGGGACTCGTCGTATATCTACTCCGGGGACTCGTGTTCCGGTGACACCGAAGAGGACGAAGACGAATTCGTTTCGGTGGGCAGAATTATCTGTCATTTCCCGCTACCACTGCAACATCCAGCTACACTTTTATGTCGAACAGACGAGCGTGACGCCGTCCAGGTAACGACATCTCAATACACGGCCGCAACGGACAACGGTACGCTTGTGCATTGCCCATTTCTCGCTGTAGATCCGGCTGGCAGCCTAGTGCTATGCGGCACAAGTGGAAGCGCCAGCAGCAGCGGCTGCACGGGAAGTGGTTCCAGCGTCATAGGCCACTGGGAACAACAGGAACAGCAACAAAAACAAGAATCACCGACATGCACCAACAGCGGAACAGCTGTCGACGGAGACTGTCCTCAAGGACCAGGCGCGGCTTGTCCTGCGGCCGAAACTTTGCACGAGAGTGCAGTCCCGGAAATGACAGCCTTGGAAAGTCCGCAGCATGTTTATGTTCCGCCAGGCATTATACAGGTGTCGACTGCAGCCACGGCTTGCACGGGTTGGCCTGTCAAAACCAGTAACGACGATAAAGTGAAAAGGAGCTCGTGTGAACTTAACGATACTACTCCATCAACAGCAACTATACCAGCGTGGTAAGTAACCTCTCACGCTTCTCAATTGGCTTGTTGCTATCGCTACTGCCATTTTAGCTTGCTTGGTGTGATCGCTTAGCTGACGGTATACTGAACCAGCGCCCTGACCCAACTGTATACTCATGCCCAGAGCATACAGACTACATACCTATGTTTGGCGCCGCCTATGCAGGTTCTAATAGGTTTATTATTACAGCACGCTATAATAGCGTGACTGCTTCGCTTTAGGTAGATAGGCTTCGCGGTTTCCTAACCCATCTATGACTGCTATGATTCATGCTCTGGGTTGAAACGCAGACCAATCATTGTTTCGGCTTGCATTCACATCTGCTTGTGAATCGCTATTCTACGAGTCAAAAAATCACCTGACTCGTATTCGTATCTTGCGTATCGTATTATTTGCTATGATAAAATGGCGGCTCTTGAAATGTTCCGACTTTACGATGTAAGTATGACCTGCAAACATGCAAAAGACAAGAGACATATTGCTTGCCTTGAGATCCCCAGGTATGATGCCACTACTAATACAAATGAATTTGAACAAACCGTTATTTTAGGTGTAACAGAACATTGAATGTTGCATTTTGTCTTTGGGGTAAATGAAAGTAGTAGATGCGAGTGAGGCAAAGAATCTTCTCATGTCTGAGTAGTGTGTGTGTGTGTCTTGTTGCATGACAAACATGTCGAAATTCTCCGCATATACAATTATTTGACCGCTCCTCAAAATACACATAGAATGTAGTAACGTGCTGTTGTTGACGCGTTTTCGAACAGCTGTTCCACGCAAGACCTGGCCACGACCTACTCACACTTCTAGCTAGATAGAACGGTAAAGAAACTAGAGTATCCCACATTGTAGCGTCATAAAAAAACTTTTCTATTTCATATAGCTTTTCTATGACATCTGTCAGCTGTAGATGCACAATCGAAATTGCCATTATCACATTTAACTATATGAACTTGAAAAAGTTCATCCATGTAAACACTTCTTGCAAATACATCAGATTTCATGGAATATTAATTAATAGTCATCTAATAAATACGTTATAAGTTAGTCGTTAAGTTCACAAACAGCATACAGGCTTGAGAAAGGATATGTTTCAGAACAACTTATAACTACAAACACCGTATCCTATGTCATTTGTAAATACTAAATATTTGATCTATTCTCGCTTATGGATTGTAATATTATGACTAAGATTTGTGAAGACTTAATTATAATAAAAATGTAAGGATATTCACTTTACTCGAGCCTGAAATTTCTTACATGTAATCTAAATTGATTCGCGTGCAGGCACACTTTGACCCGCGAAATGGAGTCTGCCTGTCTGATCCTGAACGAATACCTTCAAAGGCCTGAGAAGAGTGATCCGAACAAACTCGTAAGTTTCTTCGAAATACAACAGCGCAAATGTTAAGCGCATGGCAAAAAGAGCCAGTTACCATCACCAGGGTCATAATTTGTGATATAATTTACGGTCCTAAATGGTGCGTTAAGGTTGTATGCTAGCGCATTTCTTCGCATACGGTCTTCCGTTACTGGGTGTATGTACTGAACTGTCGAGAAGGCATAATAATTCTATACCTACCTTACGGTGTTCGCCCACCTGAACTATAGGTAGGTTCGGATGTAAAGCTTTTCTAGCTAAAGGTGCCGGAATTTGCCTGTGCCGCTTTTCAGAAAGCTGCGATGTCTCGTATACAGACGGAATGGTTCGGTGTTACCAGTGGTCCGGAAACCGACCCCGCCCATGTCCAGGAAATTCTTGAGGAGCTTGACAAGATATCCAACCATCTACTACACCGCGTTATCAATATGGCCGATAATAATGTCAGTCAACTTTACCGCTTGTGTTTGACGTAACGATAATCGAATTGGCCGATTGATGGTTGGGCCCACGATCTGCATAAAGTTATAGTATTTATATCCTGCCCCACGATTTGACCCCTTTAAAAAAATTAGGGGCAAAATGACTGTCGACGTTCGACCGAGTCTATGCCCTGGCTGCACTTTATCTGAGAATCAAAACAAACAGTTACTTGAGAATCGCTGTGATCGTTTTTTTGTTCATCTTTCGTGCTTCGTGTATCATTTCAGGGTAACACCGCCCTGCACTATGCCGTATCGCATGGAAATTTTACGGTAGTAACGCGCTTGTTAGATTCACGAGCAACTGACGTAAATAAGCAGAACCGTGCCGGTTATACGCCAGTGATGCTAGCCGCACTCGCTAGCCTTGGTACCAACGAGGCCACTCAACGCGCTATTGTGCACCGATTATTCCAGATGGGCGACGTTAACTCGAAGGTGGGTCTACATTTATGACCAATTTAAGGTATTATCGTCACAAGGTATATATTATGAAGTCCTAAGCATTCAAAGTTATATTTGACCATGAGTTGGACATGCTCAAGCTGGTATAGTCTTTGTTGCTGGTAATAAACCATGAGTCAGATATTACAACAGGTCGAACGCTTTGGCCTCTACAAAGCAGCACAGATCTTTGAAATTCGTTTTCGACCCGTGATCGTTTATGTGCTTTCGCATTATTTTATCAGATTTAGTGAAGCAATTTCTGCTAACTGGACCTCTGTTAATCCATGCCAAAATGACCTTTGGCACCCTTCCTATGTTTACCATTTATTATGCAATACGTAGTAATACTCTTGGGTAGCCGAAGTCAGCTAGTCGAAACATTGAGAAACCTCTATCGTCCTTTCAATTCTGCGTCGCAGTTAAACCCGTAAGCTAACAGCATGTGAACAAGATAAAAATGTAACAATATATCTGCGCATTTATTTCCAATGCCAGTCATTGTCAGCCCTTGTAGATTACCGCCAGATATTACTCGGACAAACGACAGCTCTAGATACCAGCAAAAAAGAGCGGGACGTCACTGAACGTCGGCAGTGCTTCAGCGATTTTTTTAACCTACGCTAGCCTTTGTTATTTAATGTTGTCTATGCATGGTGTTCGTAGGCCACCTCTTCTCCAATCGTGTCTTATCTCTGTGGGGCATCTTACACCACAATAGTGGCCAATGCGATGCGGAGAGTGACTTTAGATTATGAGCTGCTTCCTACGTTCGATGTTTCCCCGCTACCCGATTTCTTTCCGATAGCGTGTGGGCAATTCACGTGTATTTCTAGTTTGTCAAAATAGAAAAACCAAACTTGGAGCGTTGTCCTTTATAGCTGCTGAAGTTCATGGTAAGTGACTGACTACTCTGTCGAGTTGAAGAAACTTCTCGATTCGTTAATCAGAGCAAACATTTTATTAGTCTGTTATCATTGCTTATTATTATTGATTGTAATCATTAGTGCCGATACACAGCTGGCATATCGATCCTGACTACTTTTCGTCACCCAAAGTATTGACATGAGCTAAAAGTGTAGCACTGTCCACGATACCAACTGGTTTATTGCTACCGTTAACAATGACACAGGCTGGGGCCTGCCCAACGAGAATCTCCTGTAGCTGACCAAGGGTGCTACCTGCTCCGCTAAACAGAACAGGTAGCCGCGGTGGTCCCTCGATTTTTTGATCGAGACCCTCGATCGACGTCATCGCTTTGAGAATATCAGCTCCGCTGACGCTTCCGTAAGAGTTTTTGTACCTGCAGGACGTTATTGAACAAATCAATAGGGTTTCATTTTCACTAGGATACTGTCATCTTGAATTAAAATATAGGAAAAGCAGCAAATATTTTAGTGAAAAACGGTATGATAGAAGAGATAATTTTGGATTTTTGTTATAGCGTTAGTATCGATCAGCTTAGTGACATAAATGGGCAGCGCAGCAACGTTGTTAGCTTGCCCCTTCTAGAAAGCGCACTTATCTATTAACACAGCGATCGCATGAGCATTTAGGCTTTCTCAAGGAAATTTCCGCAACACGTATTAATGTATACCATCAAACGAACCTCTCATCGTCAATTAGCACGAATCTTAATTTAGGATTAGCTGCAAGCACGGCCGAAGCTTGGGCGAAGGTCGCTCCGTCCGCTAAAACGATAGGAGTTTCTAAGGTCAAAGATGTAAGAAGCGTGTCGAACCACTTGGGCCTTGTTGCGGGCCGGGAAAACACTCTAGGCTTGAAGTCTCGCTGGAACATCCACTCGTCCGAAAGGAATTTGGTCATGTAATTGCGAACTCCGTCCGGCATGATTACCACGCAGCGCTGCCCCTTCTTCAAATGTTTAGCTGCTTTTATCGCACCAGCTACTGCTGACCCGGAACTAGCACCACACAAGAGGCCTTCGGTCTGGATGAGACGTTTAGCCATAAGAAACGCCTCGGTGTCTCCGGTTCGCACCCATTGATCGACAACGCTTACATCGCATACGGCTGGAATGAAATCGTAACCGATTCCTTCGACCTCGTAGAAGGTCACTTTCGGGTCACTTTTCTCGAAGTGATCAGCCAGAACCGAACCATGAGGATCGAGGCCCACAACTTTACAGGCTGGCAGTTTTTCCTTCATTTTTCGACCGATGCCAGTGATAGTTCCTCCGGTACCCGCGCCCACAACCACCATGTCGACCTTGCCGTCGCACTGCATCAGAATCTCTTCCGCTGTTGTGTCGAAATGGGAGACGGGGTTGTATGGGTTTCGATACTGATCAAGGATAATCGCTCCTGGAATATCCCTGCACAGTTTCATTGCTATTCCAATATGCGACTTAGGGTCATCGTAACTGGCACTCGTAGGCGAGCGCACAATGCGTGCGCCGAGACCTTTGAGAACGTAAACTTTCTCGTTACTCATCTTCTCCGGTAGCACTATAATACACTTGTAGCCCTTCACAGCGGCCGCTAGTGCCAATCCGATACCGGTGTTTCCTGTGAAAGAACGAAGCTGTAAGACGTTACTACTTAACCTTTCGACACTCTATACTCGTTGATGTTAAGAAACAAACTGCATTATAGTATAATCTAAAAGCTTTCTCTCTAACTAAGATTTGAAAAAAAACATTCGAGTCTGAAAGTAATCATTCCCTTCTGATACCGTTATTGACTTGCCAACAATAAATGAAACACTTTTTCCTTTTTTTTTTCCATTTACCTGATGTAGGTTCTATTATGGTCGAGTATCCAGGCTTAAGCAGGCCATCTTTCTCTGCTTCTTCTACCATCCGTAAAGCAATTCTGTCTTTTACGCTACCACCTGGATTGAAAAACTCGCACTTGGCGAGCATTTCGCACTTAAGTCCTTCTTCCTGTAGAAAGTTCGTGAAACGAAAAATGTTTAGTAAGAAGTAAAATCGTTCAAGTTTGCCCGATTAGTACTAGCGAACCCGCTGCAGTGTATGAATAGACAACTAAGTGGCAAGATTTACCCTAAAATTGTGTTTAGCCTACTAATTCATTTGCCTCATATTACCTTAGGAATTTTGTTAAGTCGAACCAGCGGAGTTTGTCCTACCACGTTTAGGATCGAGGAGCAGATTGCTGGTCTGGGTCTGAAATTTAGGCAAACAAACATCTAGTTTGTATACATAGAAAACATACATATATTTTCACCTGTGCTACCGGTATAACCACACATTTCATGTAACCCTGTCCAGCTATTGCATAATCTTCGTAAAAACTAACTATAAATAATGCCCCTTCGAAGTATTTTACTACACTTACTTTAGTTCGACGTGATGATGTGGGCTAGGTCCTTTCGAAGATCTCCAGGTACATTTGGGCTCGACGTTTGGTAAAATCCCATGTGGATCGTCAAAGGTGTTGTATCTGTACGGCATTGCACCGTTAAGAGGTAACTTTTCGAATCTAACCTCATCGAAAAAGAAACAAGCAAACAGACAACCAACCACATTAGAGCTCTGCACTTCCTAAAAGACTGCACTTAGAAAACAAGCTGTCTTAGAACGCTTATTTAGGAGCTAAACAGACGGCTTAAGGATCGTTGATAAATACAGTCTCGTTTTACACGCAGTAACTAATAGGCTAATTTATGATCTATGTAAATAGATGGCCTTTCGTGTATTACGGCTTTTTATTCCTTCCTCCTTTGTAATTCCTCGGTCAGGTGGGGTTCGGAACGCGTTTTATAACGACTCCAGTATTGTAATATTGTCATGTAAATGGGATGGTCTGGAAAGGTTCGTTTGGAGCAGCTGATAAATTTGAATACCTTTAAGGATCCATTTTCTGTCGGTTTGACTTCTATCGGTCATTATAAATATCCATAGAACATCGAACATAGAGAAAAGGTCAGAAACAATTGCCTTGCCGCAATGTTTACGAGGTATTGATAATTTACTGAATAGATAATAACAACTAAAACATCTACCAATAATGCGCGTAATTTAAACACCAACCAAAGAATATTGTTAAAAGAAGATATTGCATTAGAAGAGGTTACAATGTATCGTGGAGGAGTCTCCCTCAGATACTGTTAGTAGTAACTTTTTGATAGTACCTGTCTGTAAATAACTACGCGCTATCTTATTACTAAATCCGATTGTCTTTTGAGCCGTATCGTCTCTGGATTAGATGCAGATATTTTTTAAATTGCACACATATTGTAGCGAACGCACGCCCGGAAGTCGAAGGCCACAGTGGGTTAGGCGTATAAATTACCATTCCATTCGTCCGCGCTCCACCCTACAATACGAAAAAGATACACAATCCAGTATCTACTCACCAATACGAACAGTGCCGAATTCTCGAGAAATTCAAGCTGGCCGTTGGGTCTACCGGTAAATATGCCTCAGATGATTTAAGCGCAGCATTCACTGACGTAGCAGGCCAATCGACGCAATCGTTAAGCGAAATCTCAGGAGGATCTCGATGTTCTATATTTCGTGAATATACTGTGCCGTGTGCAGGAGCATCTGTGTTCCTTTGTGACTGTGGGCCAAGTGCGCACCTAACGATTAGTGGCGCACTTTCCTCGTGTGCTCGTCGTGAGAGATTCGTCCATATCTCGAAGCAAGATGGAGTACAAGAGAGTTTGGCGAAGAAACTTTTGCGGTCACTTTCAGCTTGAACTTTGCTAAACAGCGATCGATCGACATCACTGACTAAATGAAAAACAGGTACATTAGAGGTTGGGTTTTGGCGCTTTGATTATCTGGGCAGCCTTCTTAATTTTCGATGTGGGTTTCACGTGTTCTGAGGCGCCCGCCTATCCAGCCGCTGTGTTGTCTGCTACTTTATCGTGCCCTCGCCACCAAACCAGGAAGTTTCTTTCCACTCCAGCGCCATCTTTTCTATGCGCAACGATCGCTCTTTCTACGCGACGATATTCGATCGCAGCGTTACATCATATGACAGTAGTGCTTAATGATCTATATCTCTCTATCTTCTATCGTTGATAAATTGTCTCAAAGCTTACAAAACCTGTTGTCTTATACATATGTGACCCAATAGAATTAGAGATACAATGAAGCCGAGCTTTGATAACGCCTCTGCTTCTATCCTCAAACTAGTTAATTTAGCTTTAAAAAAATACTCATTAGTCATTATTACAGTTATGATTAAAAGTAAGTTACGAATGAATATTAAAGCGAATAATTAGATATTAGGCTAACTAAGTGCAATTCAGAGTAGTCTGACCCCGCATATAAACGTACCTCCCAGTAACGATGCCCCTTTCATGAACGGCTCCAGGCCTCGCAGAATGGTCAGACTGCTTTAATGTTAGCGGCATCGCATGGTCGAGCTGATATGGTGAAAGCGCTACTGGAGACGGGGGCAGATCCCAACACTCAGGTAAGAGGGCCTGACGGACACGCTCTTCCCCCAACGTTTGGGAAGCTGATTATTTTTCATTGTTACTGTCGTTGTTGTTGTGTGTACGATTGTTATGCGTCAACGTACGGTGGACAAATGGCGGGACACCTGATTTACGTTCGAACATTTCATATTCGGGGTAAATATGTTCTCCAACATATTAGAGATCTAAAGATAAGGAAACCGTTTAGAGCTGCACCCCCCTAAACGAGATCTTCATTGCTATACGATCGTATCGAGAAATGCTCGTCACGCCCTCATTTCGCCTATCTGTTGCAGCATATCACTCAATCTAGCTTTGCCTACCACAGGATAACGATGGCTCGACAGCGCTGATGTGCGCGGCTGAACACGGATATATTGATGTCGTTCGAATGCTGTTAGCGAACCCCGACGTCGAGATCAACATCGCCGACCATGTACGTAAACAGAACGCGTACGTGGCCATACGCGGTGACAAGTACAGATACCCTAGAAGGTCCACTGGCATTAATAAGTAGCGGAGTACATTGATAGCTTAGATAATTAGACATTAGACACTGATGCTTCAGGCCAGAGGACGCTTTTATTAGATCGTACGAATTACCCCGGAGTGCTCTTTTGAACATATAATAGACGCACTGAAAGTAAACAATTTAGGTTTGTCTGCCACCTATTCATTACAGTCCGATATAGGGCTCATAAAAATTTACGTAATAAGCACTATGGGCAAGGCGATCCACTGCATTAGAATTAAACCTTGCGAATTTGCCAGTGTACATTGCAAAAAAAAACAAACATGGAACTAAGCTGACGCTCGGAGCTTGTTGTTTTTCGCCCGTTCGGTATGGCTGCTTAGGACGGACAAACCGCCTTGTCAATTGCTATGGAGGCAGGCCACAAGGACACAGCTCTGCTCATCTACGCCTCGTCCAACTTTTCACGAGGAAGTTCGCCGGTAATCACGCTCATCTCGTCCAGACACGAGGCTAACGATTTTCTTACCGTAAATCCTTACGCAGGTCAACAGTGAGACAAGATATTTCTCGACGTCAATGTATCTGTCATTTCGCAAATATATTTGGTTGGAATCGCATTGTCTCCTCAACGTGTAATTTAGCTGACTACACACAAAAGGGAAGAAATTGATTAGCAGTACGGTGAGGTATGATACTGATGAAATAGGGTATAAGGGGAAAGCTAGCTTTTTTACTAATCCTTCGTTTTTAACACCGGCTATGCATCTTTCGCTTTCATCACAAACAGTACTCATCGTTGCGAGGTCGCAAATCTCGAATTTCGCCACGGGCCACTCCTCCGCCATCGAGGCCCTCTCGGACGCCGCCCCCTCCGGGACCCTCCCGGCCATCTCGAACGCCGCCCCCGCCATCGCCCTCTCGATCACGTAAAGGCTCCACCTCATCGGTGTCATCCTTCAGCCGAGCCTGGTTCTAACCAACTCATAAGCTTCATAGGCTCCGGCATTTTCGTCCTAATGTACACTGTTAAGCTAGATTAATTATATATGCTTGCTATGAGAGGACGGGCAGCTTGAGCGTAGAGCAGAAGAGCTATTGATCAACACAGGCGTGCGGTGCTCGGTGAAACGCTTTCGTGCATCTTAATACACGAGCGAGTTCTGTTGCCAGGCTGCGCCCTTTGGCCTACTTGTACCTATGCACGACTCGACAAATTATATACGGAGCTGCGGACAATACATCGTAATTTGGACAAATAATGGTTGCTTATAGTTTGACATAAAACAAGGGACCTGTCTTTCTTGATATAATGAAATTTGTGGAGTTTTAGAAGTTCATGTTCGGCATTGATAAGCATCACTATCCTGTAGATACAAGTAACAAATGTTCCCTTTTTTTTTGTTTTTTTTTTTTCCATAATTTACAATCCGTATTAGTAAGAGCAATCCAGCTATGTGTTTACGTATTGCTACCAGCGTATTAGACCACTTTTATTGCTTGAATCAGTAACTAATAAATTCCCTTAGCTCTGATGCTATGTTTGTATCAGCTACGAAAGCGTACAGCAACAGAATTGAGAATCGACAGAATGGTACCCAATGGCCTTGCACGAAGAGACGATTTGAATTCAGATACCCGTTTTCGGAACGTATCTGACATTATCTACGAATTATATACCTAATTATGTTTCTATAATCTATCGTTATCAGATCTATCAGGACGAAAGAAAATACCTACTGTTTAACTAACAATCAATTGAGTGATCATATTTAAACTAACAATTATTTATCATGAGCATATATTTGTTGTTATTGTGGTGACGACATAATACTGGATTGACGTCTGGTGTAACAGGTCGCCTTGCGGCCTTAGCGAACTTCTTCGACGTATCCTAATTACCTAATTGAGCTTACTTACGAACAACCAGCGATTCGACAACTGTGCTATACCCTTAAATATGACGAAACAGTAAATAAAAGCTATATCCCGCATTGCCACGCTTCGACTGATTGCCAAAGATGGCCTCGCGCTCATGTCGCACAGATAATTATATGTAGTAGCCATCGAATACTGTTTTTCAATGTATCTATTTATCAAACCGCTTCGTTATATCAAGCGGTTCCTCTCTTAAAATTATCAACAGCGCCCAGCGGAATGCCGACTTTTTTCACTGATGATTTTTTTTCTGGTCTTATGGCAATCGAATGGTGTTCATTCTTTAACAGGCTTTTGTAACGGTCTTTTTTTTTGTCTCAACTAGTTCTTTGGTAGGCCTTATTTTTACATATTGGATATTGAATTACGGTTAAGGAAGCATCTTAACCGTTATACAAAACCTTACTCTTTTTGGCAAAAAAACACTCGTCCATCATCTTGATGGTATATACTGAACGTTGTTGATGTTATTATGGGGCTAAAGCTCTGCCATCAGCCAAGATGTTCAATATCGTGCAACGTATGAAGTTGCACATATGTCACATTATAAAGACATTGTAGAGATACGTTTAGTTGTGTAACGCGACCAAGTGTCTTACCTAGTCGATTAGAAAACATTTCCTTGGTCTTTTCGTACGAGGCTTGGCAGTTCGCTTTTACCTTGTGGATGATGCCTCTGCTGGCGCGTTTCGCAGCGGCACCCGGATCAATAAATTCCTGGTGATCGTCATAGTGGGCTTGAGTATAGCATTCTCCATGATGGCCGTGCGTTCCTTATTATTAGGCATGGGAAGCCTGTAAATTTGGTGCAACTGTGTGGTGCCGTGTTCGATGTAGTCTGTGAATACGCGTAAACGAACGCTTTTTTTCTCAAAAAACTGAGTATCTTCACTCGATAGGCTTCTATACTTTTTACCATTTGAAATAGTACAAGCTATATTTATTGATCTATCGATCTGGTTAAAACAAAATTGTCTTCCTGTTGTCAGCGAGCAACAACGAAGAGATTGGCTAAACCTCGCTCTGTGCCTTATATATATATATATATATATATATATATATATATATATATATATATATATATATATATATAAAGTGTTTTACGTAAAAACACATACATCATAATAAATACCTTTCAAAACCTTAGAATCAAGATTGTCTTTATTTTTTTCAAAAAGATATATAACTTGTTTTAAGCAGCCATTGTACCAATAAATATCATGAGGTATACATTTGCGAATAGTGTCTTACCGGAAGCGCATTAAGATAAAAACATTTCTATGACGACATCGATGATTGCCCCTTTTACACCTGCGGTCTTTCATTAGGCCTTTCAGTGTCAGAAGCAACGTTAACATAGTTGATTAGTTAATAAAGGGTCTTTGCGCATACCATGAAAAGATCGGAACTGGAAGCGACCAGACATCGACTATAACTAGTTCCAGTTGCTACCTCAAATAACTGAGACCTGTCTTGAATGTGGGTTGGATTTATCGGTTAAAGGCAACCTAACAATATATCTTCTATTGGAAATTAGAAAACAATTTTCTTGCATGACCCGTTGCGAAATCCCTCCTATATCTGATATGTTCTTTTGCCACAGGCTTGATTGAATGCCTAGATCTTGGCCTGGACGAAAAATCGCCAAGCTGAATATCATACCTATCGATCTCAGTAGGTCTACATAGGCTCAAGATATGAACTATTAAAATCAGTCATAAATCGGATTAAACTAAATTTTGCTACCGGGGACAGAAGCATGTGAAACCGATTATAGCATTGAAATGTCGTATATAAACGAGATCGGTATCTTAGTTTGCTTTCAGTGATAGATCTCGATCATAGGTACAATATATGACCAGGTAGGTTCACAATTAGCTGTCGTTAACAGTGTGCGCATTGGCGACAGTTTTTTTTTCAGAAATAAACAAGTTACTAACTTTAGCCGACGGATGTTGTCATTGTAGGAAATAAACGTCGACTCGAATGTTCGGCATACATAATAGTATACTAGGGTGCGTGATCAGGTAAAATAAGAGCAACGAACTACCCATTTCAAACTAATGCACTGTGAAAAAAAGTGTTCTTGCTCTTCATGCCTACATGGTAACATATCTTAAGGGATTATAGCCAACTTACTCGATATACCATCTGTATGAAGTAACAGTTAGAAGACGAGAGCGACATGGTCACACCGGACAGACAATCTTCTTCAGCTCTGCTAGACGCGTTTGAAATCAGATGCACGTAAATGGAGGATCCCAAATTAATAATACTAGTTCTTTAACGCTTAATAAACGCACCTTTGATTCACATCGGTTTCTCCTAGGAAAGTTGCGTATTATCCTAACTGTCAGGTAGGTTACAGGACAGGCGATGTAGGTATAAACCGGAACCTCTTCTCTAGGCCTTTCTGTGCACTGTACACATACTATATCTAGTTAGGTTTATATTAGGCAAATCATTGGAAAACGGCTTGGAAAATGAAAGCAGTGTAGAGTTATTTTTGAACCCCATTCATACTGAAATTATAAAGCTCCCAAAAACATCATGTACATGTTTGCCATAATCAGTTAGTTCAAAAATTATTTAAAAAAAATAATGGAGATTATATTTTTGTTAACGAAAAAAATGAAACCAAAGGTAGCATATAGACTACGGTGTTCAACGAGTAATACGGACGTAATACCTGGTCGTATTCTTGAATTGATCTTTCTTCATGCATCAGGCACTACCGATTTTTTTTTAATCTACTTTTTTTAAGCCTTTAGGCCAACTGTGAAAATATCAGTTATTAATAACATGACACTCTTAATTGACTGATTTAAATATTTGTAAATACAAACAGTGCGCTTAGCTAAAATACTCAAGTGAAACATATATCACAGTGTCTCTAGGTAAACATAAGTAGCTCGTGGGGGGTAATGTTTATCGCTGATAGTCTATATATACATATACAACTTTTTCGAGCGACACAGATGTTAGCTTTAGCACTCTATATCATTCTTAGAATGAAGAATCGATACGGGTACTTTGAAGGAATCGAACAGAAGAAAAAGTTTCGACCGTATTTATTGTGGATTCCGACTATACCAAAAGATATATAAAAGGCCCAGTTGTCATAGCGTGCTTCAATTCATTTGCTATTTTTCCAACGAAAATAACCTCGTACTTGTTGTTGCTGCAAAAACAAGAGCTTTCTCCTCGATGTATTCGTAGATATAGTTTTGTTCGGGTCGGATGTTTTAAGGAGAAAATGTTTTATCACGAAATTGCACGTATAAAAATGTTTTTTTTTTTTCTTTTTAAAAAAAGACTATTAGCGAGTAGTTGTCATCTTTTGCAGCAGATCGAAATGTGCTGAGTTTGTCAGGCTAGAATTCACACCATGTGTCATCGTACTCAGTGAGTAGGCGCCTCACACCACTTCAGGATGCCAGCCTTGTCTGTTCGACACTATTCGATTAGAGAGGGAGCTGAAAAATGGCCGCCTTTGTTACCTAACTCATTTAAATTGGTTCTTTCCAAAATAAAGAAAATCGCTGAGAAAAACTTCAACGAGCATGTATATATTTCTTGAGCAAATTATCAGGACACATACCCAGTGAGGGAGAACTAAGCAAGCAACAGACTGAAAGCAACAACACTCGTAAGAAGAATCAGATACATATAGGATAGGGCTCTGACGGGCTGGTTGTCGTAGCGGGCTTACTCGCTGTTCTTGGTTATTTCGAAAACGAAACTGCAAGCTTGTTATAGGAAAAAGAAATAGTGCATTGTTTTCGAAGATCAGCTATTATCCAGTGTATTTAAGAGGGACGAAGGTGAGATTATGAGTTCCCTGTCTCGAAATCGTCGGTCTACGTTATTATCAATTTTCGTGCGGCTTCCAGAGAGGATGAGGAACATCTCCAGGAGGCAAGCCGGAACAATGCTCATGAAGTCAAAATTTGAAAGGCTTATTTGGCAATTCATTAAAAGGATCCTAAAAGCCATTTTCTACGTTACGGAGTTTTTTTTTTCTACGGAGAACTACGTAGCATTCATTTTAGGTTATTATAATGGTTGAAATCTAAGAGCATCTTAGCAACGCTTTAACGAATTAATATGGATTGACATACAGTGATTGTTACTAAGAAATTCATAGCAAACTGAAACGGAATATTTGAAAGATGGAAGCTACAGAGGAATATATTGATTCAATATAGAGAAAAATCTCTATATTGAATCAATATGACCGTCAAGAACGGTACATCTATCTAGCATATGCGAATTTCTGTTTGTTTGTTGGACAGAAACAACTCATAAGCAAAAACATACAGTTGGATACTTTACCCTATTATACATATATGCTCCCATTATACTCTATAATATATATATATATATATATATCGTTTACGTATTTTTGAGCACTTTAATAGGTGTGAAATTAGGATAGAGCCTCCCGCCAATTGCCGAGAGGCTCTGTCCTAACTGTATATATACAACGATAGAAGGAACGAATTACTTTCTAGACGTGGCACAAGGTATTCGATAGCGTATTCAGTAACTTCCACATCTGATTCGGCTGTTTGGAAGGCCGACGCAGACATGTTGGATTTTTGCTATTTTTTTATTCACTGGCAGGCGGCCGTATAATGTCAACTCCGTTATAGATCAGACTGATATTTCTGATGAATACAGAGGAATTTGACTAATAGTGGGTTTTTTTCTTGAAAGAGACGTATTTGCCAGTGACCCACTGACTTTCCGCGTAGTAAACGCATCTAAAGACTAGCATCTCTGTCGTTGGGGTTTAGCACGACAAGTTTTCCACAGCTTTTTTCTACTGAGATCCAAGTGCCCGCCATCGTTTGATTGAACTTGTGCATTAGAGAGAAATAGTTATTAGGCGGGAATAACTTCCTCAAGTCAACTTCGACTGTATCACACATATGCATTAGATGCGTGAAAAAAAATACAGTTGTCTACTTCTGCCGTAGACTTTGTAAGTTGACGAAGAGCTTTTAGAAACTGGCTACACGTTTCGTATACCAGGCAGGCTAGGAGTGAGACATGAGTCAAACATTACCAATTAGTGGCGTTCTACCAAGATGCGGCCCAATAAGATCTACACTTGTTCGAACCGGTATCTTCTATTTAACTAAGACACTTTCGTTAACATACACTTCTTTTGTAATTCAGTAGCCAATTTAGTTATCTAAAACTAGATCTGAATGTCATAGCAAAAAATAAATCACATGGTTATTACAGGAGCGTAACTATTTCCTCTTCATTTTTCCTAATGGCAGATGTAGCTAGATATAACGTTTTGATGTGCCGCTGGACGAACGATACGTTGTGGGACGAACGAGTAGTAGTCTTATAGTAGTCCTATAGTAGGCCTATAGTCAAAGACTACGGTAAGTATTCGAGTTACTACACGAATATACTTTACTGTGCATCCTTAGAAGGTGCATTCTTCACCACCCCGTACCGAAGCCCAATGCTAATTTTTTCGCCAAGATCTTCGAACGGACACGACCGGGTTACGATCGAAATATCTTATTTGAGGAATCAAAGAAGAGCGGCATATCTTGCCCAAGTATGGTCGGGAAGTCGTTCAATTGGATTAGCCGGAACTACCCCCAGTTGAGATTTATATACAATTAACTAAACACAAGCAAGTGTCATAAGATGATGCATATTTATTCTTCTTGAGATACTGATTCGCCAATGAACGAGGTCCGACCTTTAACTTTTTGGATGAAATGTCATTATTGTGCTCGAAATATCGCTGTTACTTTTGTTGAGTTATACACCAGCTTCTCAAAAAACTTAAACGAAGGTAATCAGTAGCTCATGCTGCGCCCAATAATGATCTTCTGCTGTTGTACAGCCATTTTTACATTAAAGCGAAACAAGTAACGCTAACATCGAACAAATGATGATCTATTTCAGAAAGTCTAAATCATTTCAGGCCGTTACTATGTACAGCTGGGCTAATCTCTTGTATTAATAGAAATCTGAAATCAGAAATAATCATAATAATGATAATAACAGAACGAGATCTCGGGTCAACCCCAACAAGTGCGCTCAGTTTACTTTCTCCCTCACCTTTGGTCCTTTCCACTTGAACTGTTCCCTCTTATACTCTTTCCATTTTTACGAATTCGCTTTGACTGAGCTAATCCCCCGATCATCCTGCTCACCTCTTCACTAGCCTTGTTTTCCCGTTTCCCTCGCCAGCAGCAGCCGCAGCAACGTCCGTCCGTCCGTCCGTTCGCTCGCCTGGGTCTTTTCAATAGACCCAGTACGATCTGCCGGCTAGATCCGAGCAGTTGTAGCGAACAAACCAGCCCAAAGCAAGCAGCATTCGAAAGCGAGTTACAGGGGCGGGCCTTACACGCGCTGAATGGGCGGTGCCTAAGGCCGTCAGGGGTGGAGTCTAGCCACGAGGGCTTAACGCGGATATGGCGAACGAATCGGACATGTGGTTCCAAGACTCAAATAATATAATAATACAAGCTACTATGAGCAAGCGGGTGATTTCGGACTGCGGCAGTCGTTTGACTAGCGTAGGGGAGCTGAGACACGAAGCGAAATGTGGGTATTGAATGTGACGAGCGAAAATTAGTGGCGCTGTAAAAGGCCTCGAGCGCGGGACAATCGTGGAGGCATGCCTACTAGAGCTGCACGCTCATACGGCCTATCGGTTGCTAGCTAATTCGGTATAGGTCATGGATTGTTTCGTTCTTCGACTTCGGACATCGATCATGCGAGGATAGCAAGTTCGGTTCTAACGGTAGTACCTGTTAGCCGTAATAACAAAGCGTTGCCTATCTACGTAAGCAGGACAACGGTAGAACATCTACTTAGTTAACGTGAGAGTTCGCGGGTTTGGTCCTCAAGCACTCAAGGCACTTTTTGAGAAACAGGAAAGAGTGAACAGGCCGCGCGCAATCTGCCTGTCCACGTTGATACGTGTGCGCGCGCGCGCGTATGTGAATTTCGAGATGATAGAACCGGTTCACTCGTAGGGCCCAGCACCACCCCGGGTTTTGCCGATGAGACACTGCGTAAGTCTCAGTTGTCACCCTTTGTAGCCTAGTCAGTATCAGCACCCCCTCCCTTCACCTATCCCCTCCCCCGCCGCCGCAGCCGTCACGGCCAAACTAAAGAGGTGGACCACTCAGGGGGTTGGTTGTACACAGCAGCAGCGGTGCTGCCAGCGATCAGGACTACTGATCTGTGACTGTGTGCCTGTTCCAAATCCAGTGCCTATATGCAGGCCGCTCTGTCTATGTGTAAGTAAAGGCATAGCCGAAGCGCACGCGCGTTGGATTGCGTGTCTGTTCTCTTCCTATCGTCGCGGTGTCTGTGTGTGTTAGTGTGAGGGAGGGAGAAAGAGAGAGAAGAAGTGTCTGTGTGTAGTGGGCAGCTGGGCGTTTGTATATTCTGGGGGTGTGTGTTGCCGCTCCTGCTGCTGCTGCTGCCGCCGCCGCCACCGCCGCCGCCACCGAGTCGTTCGAGTAAAATCTGAAACGATGTAGAGTTGGCGGCGTAGTATGCTCATGTGGAGGCCAGTCGACGACATCGTGAAGCTGGACAACTGCATAGAGTTGAAGCAAGTAGCTAGGAAGCCGCAACATCCCGTCCGATCGAACCTGCGAGCGTCTGTCTGTCTGCCTGCCTGCCTGCCTGCCTACCTACCTACCTTCCTTTCTTTCTTTCCGGATGCCGGTGATAGCGCACGCCAGCGCTAACAGTCGTCATCAGTAGCGGCAGCTGGTGTCTGTCTAAATGTCGTTGCGTGTGTGGGTGTGAGTCGCTGCGCGCCGAGTGGCGAGTGAAGGAAGTGCTTGTCTTGTCGAACACGATGTATTCCATGATGTTGGACACGATGAGACGTACTACTAGCCCGCAATAGTGGTAGTAGTCATCATCAGTCGTTGTGATAGTTCGGCTGCCGCTGCTGCTGCTGCTCCTGCTTCTGCTGTTGTTACCGTAAGCACTATTGTCGAATCAGCAAAGCGAGTTACGGAATTCAGTGCCTTCGTGGCCTGCCTGTCCGTCTAATCACCGATTGCGGAACGAACACATCTAGAGTAGAACCACAGCCACTCTATTACAAGTGCTAGCTCCACTGCTACAAGTGCTATGTAAATACTAGTGAGAATACAAAGTAGCGAAAGAAGACGTCCTTACCGTAGTCGATTCTGTAGTTGGAGACAACTCGGGAAAAACGACAAATCCCGATCCGATCACACCAATATCTACAGCGGCAATGAAACATTGCAGCGAATCCCCACGAACGCGGTACGCTTGAGACGAACACGAAACAGGAAAAAGCCTATGCTGATTGCTACTGCTACTGCTGTTGTTGTTATTGTTGTTGTTGCTGCTGTTGTTATTGTTGTTGTTGTTGTTGTTGTTGTTCTTGTTGTTCTTAGTGGTGTTTATCGCAATGGTGTCTATGGCTCGAGCGATTGCAGGATTGTGTAACTAAGTTGGCCAGCGAAACCCAAAAGTCAGGAAAGTAGGCAATCTATCAGTGAGGTGCTGTTAGATATGGCCTTGGAAAGGTGCTTGGCTGTGTGTCAAAAGAGGTGACTATTCAGCAAAAGGAAACCTTCAGCATACGTGATGATGGTGAAAGCGCTGTATTCCGGATAAGTAGACTAAAGATGCTCTGACGAATGTAACGGAAATCGAAGTCTCAGAGGCAGCGACTTAATAAACAAATCGATTAACAAGTGCAGTGAGATTAATGGATGTTTAGCGTAGGGGCACTGATGTAATTATCAGAATCTGGCAGTATCCAGCTTAAATCTCCGTCCAGTGTGAGCAGATTATTCATCCTTTGTTCAGTTGTACAACCGAACCATAAGTGTCCGATGTTACGGAATACTGACATCGACGAAAGCCTGCGAAATGTATAGGAGACCTCATTTTAAGGCTCGCTGGTAGCAAATTATAGTAAAACGTCAGCGCAGAGATCACTGCAGAACAAGAAGGCACATCTTACATTGAAGCATTAGCACGTATCTGAAACACGTTTATCTATGGTTGGTTGACTAAGTGTAGGTGCAATAATACCTGAACCGAAAATAACTGTTGACGTGGTTTTATAAGAAGTCGACTGAGACGTATTATTTCGCCAGAGTCATACTCATTGATCTGCAGCGTGGACGTGGCTCTGATCTTGACGTGTCTATTAATACTTCTTGTATTGAAGTGGCGTACTAACAATTTGTGGAACTCGACAGTGGATACTCAGCGAAAAGACCAGGTTAGTTTAGAGTACATGGGATGCGTTTCTTTTTGCTGTTATAATTGTATGGTTTGAGTAACTGGGGCCACGTAGTACTGAAGACTATCACTTCTGTCTTAGATTGTGATCGAATAATAGTAATCGTTTACACAAGGTTACTCATTAAGTCTACGATCACTGCGTTTATCTGGACAGCTGTGGTCGCGTATTCATTTTGCATTTTGAAAACTATAACAATCAAGAACCATATTAACGCGACGATAGAGCAGAGAAAGATGAACGTATCATAAGCTTCATACTTTCGCCATCTTGTACTTCGGATTAATTTTCCGATAGCACGTGCCCGTTATCGAATAGACCCTCAGACACAATGGAAATGCAGGGCCGTACGAAGTTGGTATCCGCGTATATCCGGCTGTACCGGATTATCACCTTCTGTGGCACTGGGATCGTGGAGAAAATTCAAATACTGTAAGAAAAACGTCTATGTCCGTGCGTGTTTGCTGTAATGATACTCCTCGGTGGTACTCTTCTGCTAGATTCGTTATTTAAAAACTTATTTAACTTATTAACAAAATAGGGTCCTGAACAAATAGGCATCACACGATAACGACAATGAGCACTCTAGGGAATATCTACAATGCGGACACTTTGAATGTGTTCTGCTTACAGTCGGTAATATATCGTAAGGTCCAAACGATTAGGATTAACTATACCAATTATTTGGTTTTGGCTGCAAGCTCAACTTACGACGTTTATCCGCAAGGACAACAATAACAATGCGAGTTACGCCGCCCATTCAAAGCCGGAATGTAAGTTCAGCTCGTTTAAATAGTTCGGTCATCATTAAAGGAGGGTAGCGTAAGTTCTTTGTGTGCGTTACGATGAGGATATTAACACCGTCTCGTGCGGTCAACTCTCATAGATTCACCAACCACGCCCGTCACCTTATCATTACGAAAAAAGCATTGATAACTGAAACAACCGTCTGTAATCGATTATTATTTCGTCTAGCTACACCGTAATAGTTGTCGCCGCCTCTTCTTCTTGTCCCAACAGAAACATAACCATCATTGTGACCAGCTGTTGATGACACGAAGCTTGCCACTCCTTTGCTATATAAAAGCCTGTTGTCTTTGGACCAACGATGGCTGATCATCATATAGGAGGAACCGACTGAGCATTGGCCCAATACTCCAATGCGCTTATATTTTACTAAGTTATATAACAACTGCTATCGCGTACCGTCAGTCCCCAAAGGATATTTTCGCTATTTGCACCCATTCTGAAGCTAAAAAGAACTTTAGAAGCGAATCGCACCGGTAGTTGATGCTTGCTACTTCAGCAAAACCATTGGTTTCGTTGGTATCAACGACTCTCAACGGCTTTTTTTGCTTTTGGGGGCACCGCTTTCCTTAGTGAATTATAGCAAAGGCTCAGAATGTTGTTGCTGCCGTAGACCGACGAACTAAACTATGCGTCTATTTCTCTGCTTCTACTTCTGCTTTCCTTTTTGTTGAATTAAGTTACTGACCTGTAGATAGATTAGATAGATAGATAGATAGATATTGATTGATAGATAGATAGATGTTGATAGATAGATAGATATTGATAGATAGATAGATAAATAGATATTGATAGATAGATAGATAGATAGATAGATAGATAGATAGATAGATAGATAGATAGATAGATAGATAGATAGATAGATAGATAGATAGATAGATAGATAGATAGATAGATAGATAGATAGATAGATAGATAGATAGATAGATAGATAGATAGATAGATAGATAGATAGATAGATAGATAGATAGATAGATAGATAGATAGATAGATAGATAGATAGATAGATAGATAGATAGATAGATAGATAGATAGATAGATAGATAGATAGATAGATAGATAGATAGATAGATAGATAGATAGATAGATAGATAGATAGATAGATAGATAGATAGATAGATAGATAGATAGATAGATAGATAGATAGATAGATAGATAGATAGATAGATAGATAGATAGATAGATAGATAGATAGATAGATAGATAGATAGATAGATAGATAGATAGATAGATAGATAGATAGATAGATAGATAGATAGATAGATAGATAGATAGATAGATAGATAGATAGATAGATAGATAGATAGATAGATAGATAGATAGATAGATAGATAGATAGATAGATAGATAGATAGATAGATAGATAGATAGATAGATAGATAGATAGATAGATAGATAGATAGATAGATAGATAGATAGATAGATAGATAGATAGATAGATAGATAGATAGATAGATAGATAGATAGATAGATAGATAGATAGATAGATAGATAGATAGATAGATAGATAGATAGATAGATAGATAGATAGATAGATAGATAGATAGATAGATAGATAGATAGATAGATAGATAGATAGATAGATAGATAGATAGATAGATAGATAGATAGATAGATAGATAGATAGATAGATAGATAGATAGATAGATAGATAAATAAAAAAATAGATGGAAAGAAAAAATGATCATTAAAATAGATAGATAGATAGATAATAAGATAGATAGGTAGATATTGATAGACAGATAGATAGATAGATAGATAGATAGATAGATAGATAGATAGATAGATAGATAGATAGATAGATAGATAGATAGATAGATAGATAGATATTGATAGACAGATAGATATTGATAGATAGATAGATAGATAGATAGATATTGAGAAATGGATAGATAGATATTGATAGATAGATATAGATAGATAGATAGATATTGATAGATAGATAGATATTGATAGATAGATAGATAGATATTGACAGATAGATAGATATTGATAGATAGATAGATATTGATAGATAGATAGATAGATATATAGATAGACAGATATTGATAGATAGATAGATAGATATTGATCGATACATAGATAGATATTGATAGATAGATAGATAGATAAATATTGATAGATAGATAAATAGATAGATAGATATAGATAGATAGATAGATAGACAGATAGATAGATATTGATAGATAGATAGATAGATAAGTTTATGGGCCGCATGTGTCGCTGTTGACCGTTTAATGATCCCTCAAGCGACCTCCACCGCTAATACTTTATTTACAGTGACAAATAGCATATTGCGTTACTTAGTACCTATTCTATTATTCTGAATATACATATACATAAGTGCGTAAATTGCATGCATGCTAACTAAAAAACAGATATGCCTGTCTAAAGGCGTTATTTTCTCCAGTGAAAAACTTCCCAGGGTTGCGTGCCGGTAGCCAATCGATAACGTTCTGTGTTGCCCAGTACATAGCTAGCACTACATTAGTAAACTAGGATAATACTTGTTATCAGTAGCAATAAGAGAAGAAGCTGTGTAGATAATGTTTATTAAAAACAAGTGCAGTAATTTCGTCATCATTTTATATAGAGGGCGCAAACTTGCAATATCTTGGAATATTTCAACGATCGCAACCGTTACATAACTCTTGGTCAAAAGTAAATACGGTACAGAGAAAATAGTGAGCTCCAGGATGGATAGTAAATAAAAAACATAGGGTTGTTTGCATTTTCTGCTTGACAATATTTACGAAACATAGAAAATGCCGCTTTAGGCGTACATGTTTTTGTTGCAACGGTATTGTTTAAGCGACTATATCAGAATGGAACATGTTAATTCCATGTTCAAACTTAAACTGAGATTCAGATCAGTATCGATTCGTTGCCTCTCTGGTATATATAGTATGGTCTTCCTATATAAAAGTTTACTATAACGACGCAAATCGATATTTTGAAAATTGCGCCACTATGGCGGGATCACTCGCAAAAAAGGACCACTTTGGCATAGCAGCATTATTGATTCGAATGCCCCTATTTTACTGATTCGCCCCGTAGCCTCGCGAGATACTTCATTCTTGGACGCCACTGCTCGTACAATTGGTTTCGGTGTCACATTCGACCATCTCGTTGAAGTTTTGCTTCTGTCGAAGTAAAAATTAACTTTTGGAGCTGCTGAAGCTTAGAATGATGAAGAGTCACAATCGCCTGTCCATTGTCCACGAACTTTACGAGCTCTCGGACTGCATACGTGTGCCTTTTGCTGTTGTTTAAACGGACGTTGGATTGATGTTCAGTCTTTCAAGATACAGGAACTGTAGTGTATTATTGCATAAGCGTTACTGCAATTTGTGACCTGACAAACAGCTGGACCCAAGCGAACGTTCTAACAGATTAGATACATGATCACACACAACTTCTTTATATATTGAAACAAGTATTTATTAAACTGGTCCGCAAAGCTTTTTCGCTCGATCCCTATTTTTTTGAATTTGTTTAAATGAAGAGGGATAAATTCCTGATTACCCAATGACGACTTGATTCTACGATGCTTTTACTACGATTTTCCTATTAGTCGGTACTTGTGGCTTTTAAGATTTTTATGCGACCCGAAATCTGTGGGGCGAAACAAAAGGGGCATCGATAGTGACTAGGTATCTTTGTTAATGTATCAAATACCTGACCAACTCGCAAATTCAATCTCCATAATACGTAGGTCATATAATTGAAACTTTATTACTGATTACTGAATAAAACATATTTTGTGGTTAAAGTGAGTGATTCAGTTGTCTGGATCCTCTAGACTGATTATAGGCCAGTCAGGCTCGGCATTTGAAATTTTCAGATAACAGTAGACCACTATACTTATTTGTATCTCATTTAAGAATGAATGCTGGTTCTCCCAGATACGGGGGAGGTTGCGAAGGTGGCTCCTCCGTTTATCCGGTGGTTGGCACCCACCATGCCACCATGGGCCATCACGCTGCTGGTAGTCCGATGAGTGCACCGATGTCTACTTCGGGAGGTTTCTATCCCACGTGCGTAGCCCCCGTTGGACCGTGGACCCCCCCAGGATCGGATGGAACAACGTTTGCTCAAGCTCATAATCCGTCGTCGGCTCACGCCCTCTCGTACGATCCTTATACGGCGGCTACGTTCGCGGTCTACGCTCAACCTTACGGAGGAGCAAATGGGTAAGTTTAACGAGCGTGAAAGACCATTTCTTGTTTTCGGGCAGATCGAAGTCAAGAGATTGTACATCTATATTTTTATACAGAGGCACTGTACCAACAACTGTGAGTAGGTAACACACGATAGCTTCACTGTGCATCATTCATCAGTTCCTAAACGAAGCTTAGCCGCGTTATAGCTTCATTCTGCTTCAACAAAGCGAACCGGTCCCAAAATGTTGTACTACTGCCTGCAGTGTATGGTAGATAATGCAGTATCCCTAATACAAAATGTTCTCTATAGCGGCTCATAGCAGTAGATAGTCACCTAAAGAGATTTTATCGATTAGATCTGATCTCCAGCAGGCGCTAAATAGAAAAACGAGAAAAATAGGTGCAGGGTGAAATCAAGCTAGAAGAAAATATGTTAGTCTTTTTTTTGGATCGTTAAAGTCGTACGTTTCTTAACCCCCGCGACTTGCATAGGTACGTCATAAAATATCGGCTCGTTTACTCACTTTGATTACACCTACCTACCTCCATTTACCAATCCGTCGCAAGCTAATAGCGCTCGCACTACTTCCAATAAAAAAGTAATTGCAACTTTTCGTAAGGGTAGCAAAGTGCGATCGGACGATAAGGTTGAATGATGTCTGCTTCCGAATTTCAAACCCCCCGTGAGAGATTTCGCGTTCACATGCGATGTCACGAGTCTGTTCTATGTATTCTATTTGGGGGAGATGGACGACCTTCGTAATTGAGCTAGTTGAAGAGCTTTAATGGTCTCTGTCCGCGTAAATATTAAAAAAAATCCCATCAGCACGGGTGCGACTTCAAGTGTGTGGTGCCATTGTGTCACAACGTTCGGATCTATTACAGATCCAAATATGTTACTACACAAAGCAAAGAAGAAAATGGGGCAGTTGAGACTGTCCGTTCTACGGCCGAAGAAGTACTTTTAACCTATTATTTCCGGTTCGGAAATTGACCCAATTTTAGGTATTCGCCTACAATGGATGCTGCGGCGCGTCGGAAAAATGCGACCCGCGAAACGACAAACACGTTGAAAGCGTGGCTCTACGAGCATAGGAAGAACCCGTATCCATCAAAGGGCGAGAAGATTATGCTTGCCATTATCACCAAGATGACATTAACTCAGGTGCACGATAGCGTACAACTATCTCTTGACAGGGAATCAATAGCAATAGCTGGGACTAGATAAATCAATGCAATCTTAAATAACGGATGGTCAACGTCTGTTTTAATAAGTGAACAACGCAAATGAACTAATTTAAATCGGAATAAATGAATCCACTGGACGCCGCCAAGCTGTACGGTCCGTACATAAACAGAAATGGTTATTTTTTTACCCGATTTTCCCGAAAAATCACTTTTGCTGGTAGAAGACTCAGTAACATTCCGCCTATTGCCTACATTATAAATCTCCTTATATATCTTAACCAGGTGTCCACATGGTTTGCGAACGCGCGACGACGCCTCAAAAAAGAAAACAAAATGACGTGGGAGCCCCGAAATAAGTAAGCACAAACGCGACATATAAAACGAAATAAAAATTACGTTCACATTAAATTTACCTTACTAACAAAATGTGTGTATTTGGCCTTTGATTATTTGCGATTTTTTTCTAGATCCGATTTTTCCTGCAATGTCAACTAGAATATAGTTGGTGCAAACAAAGTAATTTTTTGTTAGATACATTTACTTGGCCGAAGTGTCTGCACGACCTCAGAATACTCTCTGCTCAGCATGTACGACAAGGCCGTATATGCGTGCATGTTGTGCCTACAATTCAATCGTACGCAATGCTGTTGTGGACGCACACAAAATGAGCATTTTAGTACATTAATCATCTAAAGAACGATAAATCAATACAATATTTGAAGCTAGTTAGTAGACAGGTATAATTAAATTTTTCAGACCCGCAGAGAGCAATGCTGGGACTGGAAATGGAGGAGGAGACTCGGAGGGAAAAACTCGAACTGACGACGAAAACGATGTTGGCGGCGGCGGCGGCGGCGGCGGCGGCGACGGCGACGACGACGACGACGACGACGACGATGATGATCTAAACGATGACGAGCGAGAGCATGACAATGAAGCAGTGAAGATTGGAGGATCAGGGAGGGAAGTCGCCAGTGGATCGGCAGCGCCTTCTGCTGGCATGAGTGCCGTCGGACCAGCCGATTTGAGAATTTCCGTTGACACTACCCATCATGGTGGCGACCATAGCCATCGGAACGAGAGAACAATGATTAACCGGATAAAAGAAGATCACAAGGATCAGCTGTCTTCGAATGACCATGGTCAGTTCCGTTACGTGTTTGGTATACAGTACTGTATTTTATTGATTATTTTACTCTTTCAATTTTTAGCGACTGAGTGGAAAGCTGTTGAAGACAAAATACCGCGAATAGAGCACGCGTCTTCATCGTATTAAGTTCGAACGAACCGACCAAACAAAGAATTTGATTTACGAATTTATTACGTTTTAGGTAATTTTCATTTATAAATTGTTTGTATGTTAAAGTTTTACGTCAAACAGACAACAAGCGCTATTGTGCTCTTGCTAAAACTTTTTTCACACAAGGTAGCTCATTTTGTTTGAATTCACCTTATACTTAGCTGTTTCCTTTAGAAGCCATATAAACCTTGAGTATATTGCGTGATGCTCTATCGTGTGTGCGTTGTACAAAGGACCCTGTGCTTTTGAAAGCTATTGACGTTATATAAACGGGCCCAACATTGCAATATCTCATTTGCGAGCTCACATAGTCCTGTTGGAGGTAGGGACACAGACAGGCCTTCTGCGCGGAGACACTTAGCAGTCGAGAGGCGAGCACTTATCTCATTAGAGATATCACACGTTCGTCGTTCTTGGGCCCCCGCCGCTGCTGCCGACTCTCTGGTCGAGTTATCTTCGCGACTAGGGAAATAGGAGCGCCTTGCTTCTCCGGGGTCGGCGTTGATTAGTGCATACGGCTGCTGGATAAGCGCAAAGCGACCGGCAGGGTGCATTGAATTAGTAATAATATCATGGCAGACTGCTGTTGTATCTCTAAGCTCGAGCTTGGATAAGCGAGCGAGATGACGCCCGTCTAGACAATGAAAGCAATGAGACTCACTAGCTAACCGGAAGAGGTTGCCCTTCTTGCACTTGTTTCCGTTTTATATTTGAACGTGAGCGACTGTTTTTCCATATGTAATTGAATAAAAAAACGCTTTTGTATAGTTGTACATACAGCAGATACCAGCAAATTTCTTATTATGTAATTTAGAAAAAAACTTTTATTATTATTATTATTATTAACACACACTGTATCGTATCTATGTGTCGCTGGATTCAAAGCAGCGGGTCTTCGTACCACAAGTTCGGTCGTCCGAGCCACTGCTTCGATGTGTAATATATGCAGTCGGAGCTAGATTTCTTATTTCTCTTATCATAAGACACCAGAAACGCGTTGTATTTTTTTAACGCACCATTAATACTACAGGTATTGTAGGTAGTTTAAGAGGCAAGAGCGTCTAAGGTTACATGGCAGAGTATATTGAATTAGTTGTATCTCGTAGTAGCGTCAACTGAATTTTAATTTGTTTCCAGATTCGATCCGGAGCGACTCTGGTGCTTATTTGAGATCGAGAATAGGCTTGGATAATAAGCCAATAGTTCCTCCGTCTACACTGTTTGAATCTGAATCGGCCATAGGAGTTCCTTACAATCGATGCTTCGCGTCGCCTGGGCTTGGGATCGCTGGAGCCCTTCCTGGCGTCCCTCAAGGTTCTACCGGCCCCATTCCTGGTCCTTACAGTAGTAGTCCCGTACCAGCCGGACTTACCGCTGCAATGTCAACCTTGTGTAATATCCCTAGTGGAGTGCCTATGTCAATTCCCTCGTCGGAGCAAACCAGTCTACCTAAACCGAAAATCTGGTCCCTTGCACACACAGCAGCTCACCCTCATCCAGATCAGCTGGACTATACGCCTGTTAGGTTCGTGGCGTTTTTGACTGTTCAATAGCCCAGCCTACGTCTACGTAGGTTGGTTTTGGTCACTTTTCGTAGACACCCTCGATTAGCATGAAGCGTTGATCTAGCTAACACTTTGCACTTGTGTTTACTTGAAAATATCTTCAACAGGTTACTTCGTAATCGAATCTATTGAAGCTGTGTTGAAGCATAGCTTAGTGTAGATTGAAACTCGAGTATCTCACCATTTTCGGTTCGTTAGGCATACCTTTCAACAGATTCATATTAGGGGGCACTAGTTCAATGCCCTTGCTGTTTTGGTTAGCTGGCATACGATTCGTGCATAAGACAACCGTTCTTTGTATTTCAGGTATGGCTACGGAACGGACGGTGGCTATTTTAGTCCACCGCCTGAAGCATTTGTACCGCACGCGTCTCCGAAATATCTCTCTGCAACCACACAAGTGCCGCAGCGGTATCACAGTCCTAATTTGCAACAGGGCCAATGGTCCCCACCAGCGGCAGGTCGTTGATGTCCGCACGCAGTTTGGCAAAGTAATACTATATTCGTATTGTGAAACAATTTTAACGACCATTACATTTTATGATACAGAACTGTGTTCTCTAGATTCGGTGAGTATCTCCGGTACCCCACGCATTGTTCCTGTCCCTCGTAGAAGGAAAGCGGATCTCTAATGGCTAAGGCTTTCTATTGCCCCCAGGACGTGGGTGTACAAAATAGGATTCTCTTACAGATGATCCCAACGGAAATCTGACTACGCCACAGGTTGTACAGTGATTGTACTATTATGGATAGGTCTGATAGTACGATAGAAGTCGACACATTTCCACATTCGCTCAATCCGTGCTACCAAATCTGTTTTAATATGATCCTAATAACGTACCTATCTTTAGCATTATTTGAAATTGTGAACAGCTTAAAACATGAATGAGAAGGACCAAAGAGCAAGCAGACAGGTAGTCCTAGATACATTATGGGAAACTGCTATTGTCCGAGAAGAAATAATCGGTGGTGCAGATAACAGAGCTGGCTCAATTAATAACGGTATTCGCTTAATACACGTCTACTAGAACGGTGTGTTCATGGAATAAAAACTGTAGCTTCGTTCAATGATGACTACCGATATTTTTAGCGTGCTCGCTGATGAGCCAAGCTTAAGTCGATTTGATACACCGAAGGGATTGTTTCAGCGGGAGGAGCCTCAAACGCACTGAGATATCCGATAAACAAAGCGCATAGGTAGATATTTGCGTACACAATTGATTAAGATAGTACGCTCCATATTTATATGGTACAGTGACTAAGCGTGCTGGTGCCCGCTGACGAGACGCGATCGCTGCTGCGTTACAATGGCTACTAGTCAGCTTATTTGGCCAAACGATGTCCTTTATGACTGGTTGCTGCTAGCGAAGTGCGAGCTCGTCGGACTGCCGCGCTGAAAGCCGACGGGCAAGCGATTCAAGCTTAGAGATAAACTATGTACATAACAAGCTTTCAACTGAACTTATCAGATTATATATATATATACGTAGGTTAACGTAATCGATGTAATGTGATATGAGTAACGTACTTCTGAATAAACTATGTACATATAATTGAATGATCAGTTGCGATGTGTTTTATTTAGAAACGAAGGTTGGCGGAATCATCATCGGCTATTTCATAAGGTAGCAGTATACTTCACAGGGAAAACGAAAGCTTTTGGCGTCCATAGCTAATCGACGATAGAGGGCGTTTGTCAAAAAGTTCAAATGATTTAACGAACTCACGATGTCAAGAGAAGATGTGTGAACAAAAATCTACTCTTTTTCATTTGTCTAAGCCTGGCCCATCCATGCCCCACCATGGCACGGCCATCGCCATCATCGCTGTTGCCGCCAACATCACTACCACCAGTACATTAATGCTAATTATGATATATATATATACATACGGACAGACATATTTGCCGCAAGCACGAGGTGCAGGACGTCATATTTGCCATTGAAGTGTAACATAGGTATGACATACGGCGGCGTGACGTTTACTCTATCGCTAAAAGCTGGCAGCAAACAGACGTACTTTAACATAGACAGCTTTCACGAGCGGTGGTACCCTTGATGGTGACTTCTAACTAAGATAAGTCATTTGGCTTCTATCCTGCCGGGAACAGATATTGCGGTGAAAAGGTATAGAGGGAAGTGCAGCATGCGATGGAGTAGCGACTTCGGAGTGAGTCGGAGTATGAGAACCGCGAGGGCGCACAATACAGTCAAGGCTGGTGCATCGCAATGAAAGCTCAGACAGCAATAGAATAGTGCTGGTTAGAGAAGAGAAATTCTTTGAGGCGGATCGCACATACAAGACGAAGCACTATCGGGGGATGGGGGAACGGCTCGCCATCGGCTAGCATCGTACGATATTGTATTGGCGGCATGCTGATGGTGTTGGGGGCGTGGCGGCTCCCTCGCGGTCGTGACCGGCGGCAGGCCTCGAGGCACTAACTACGTTGGTGCAAAGAAGGCTAGCGGAGCTGGTTCGGATAGCAATATTCGCTGCATTACTGAGGATTCACTAGTCAAACAGGCTGCTTCGGGCTGTTCTAGTGGGCTACCGAATACATGTAGTGCATACTTCGCTATGGATGGCAATCCATCGTGCGCAAGGTAAGTTTATCTGCTGGTGACGTACTTAGTAGGCACCGCGGTGTAGCAACGAGCTAAGTGACATAGCGCGGGTGATTTTGGCAGCTGCCAGCTGAAGAACCAGCGAGCAGAAGGATAACTGTGAACGCAGACCTGGGAAACTCTTGTATAGACATTAATGAAAGGGGTGGTCGGTTTCGCAGATTTGTGCTACAATCCCAGTGGGAAGCCAACCGATCTGCTGGCAGGTGGAACTAGTCGACTAACTCCTCGTCAATAGGCTAGCATATGCCAGCTTCTGGTGCCAAGGAAAACGAACAGAGTTGCACACGAAAACAATTCCCTCTGTGAAAATCATCGAACCCCTAAGGCGGTCTCTGTGTGGTAAGGATCCGTACTGTAAATATGGCTCGACTTCAACTCTAAATTTATCGATTTTATGATCGACCGTTGCGATATCCGTCGATAGACATACAGTCGACCAATGATGTTGAATTGAAACAGAGATATACAATAAAGAATTTGAGGTAGACTCGAGATATGATAGGTTGTTTAACTATCGAGCAGATGTTTTGATAGTAACAGCAGATGCCATCAGAGCAAGTTCGTCGTGCATATGGCAAAGCAATATATGCTTATCTGAATATGGTGCATATCAGAACGTCCAAGCTACCCTCGTTTAAGCGACACCGACACACAAATAGACATTAACACACACATTATATATACAAGCATATGTACATATATATATATATATATAGACTAGCAATCTGGCGTTGGTATCACTTTTGGCTTTATGAGTCTGAAGTCAACTAGACTTCTCCGGGTACTACTGATACGCTTAGCCTAACCAAAACACATTGAGAGTGATAGTCTTTTATAGCAAAGAAAAGACTACGGCTTTCGTAGTAGGACAGATATGACGTCTGTGCATCGCTGTATAGGCCCGCGTTAAGATTGCTTTGTCAACGAAGCCTGCGCAGGGCCTGCCACGTATGCTCTTTTATGGTCCCTTTTATGAACGTCCGAAAGCGTCCAGTTCCATCGACTATTCCGGCGCGGTCGTGTCTTCGGAAGTAACCGCATTGTCTACACTAAAAAGCTGCTTCCGGTAGAACTTCCGTCGCTTATGCTTTGGCTGGGGTCTCTTGCCTTGCGTCGGTTTGTCTCTATGTGTCCGAATAGAGCTGCTGAGCCCATTGCCATTTACGGTCGACGAGGCCCGGAACTCGTGCTCCTGAAAAGACCTCGTTTCATTCGGTGAGTGGCTCAGCTGTGATCCACCGCAACTATTTCAGCTCAGGGGTGGTGGTGGGGGGAGGGGTTTGGAGGCCTTTTGCTGAGGCTTGGTCTTTCGCGGTCGGTGGTTAGTTTCTTTTGCCAAGCGTGTCACTCAGTAGATCGTTAACCGCTTCGCACCATTTCGTGCCTGACTACGAACGCTTACTTTGCCTGGCCACCCCTAGCCCCTAGCACTGCTAATCGTCGTGCCGAGGAGCCCAGCCTTCGCAGGATACTTTGTCCTGTACTTGAATGGCTGTTTTTCTTGAGACTAGTATCTAAAAGTTCCTTGTGTATCTTTGGTGTTCGTCTGCTTTTTTAGTGTGTCTGTACAGCACGAGCGCATGACAATTTTTTATCAGGAAAATAGAACGTAGAAATTGAAAAAATTGTCCATCAACGTAGGAAATGCGTAGCTCGCCTATTCGTCACTGTTACACGTTAGGTTCAAGTATCTAGCATGTATGTGGCTCTGATTTATAATGAGTTAAAATGTGAGGACAGCACCTTGATCGTGCTTGCGTATTATCTATGGGTAGCTAGGCGTAACACGCTCAATAAGCCTTATTTTTTTTCACGTGACATTTTTCCTCCAGTGACCTCATGCGTAACGGCATTGATTCAATGCTACGTAAAACTCGAAACATGAATTTAGCATTGAATATGCTCACAACTTATACGTAGATTTATTATTGTGGGCGAATCCTTAATTCCAAAGTCAAACACCTCTCGTATGACGACAGTGCGTTGCCACTTTTTATATAGCACTGCCAGCACGGAGAGGTGATAGGATAACTTGTCCAGTTATAGTACTGAACCGTCTTCCAGAAGTAGCCTAAACAAATGTATTAACACATTGGTTTAATTAACGGTTTATAATCCTTTATATTTTGGTGTCCTATCTATGCACTTCATCAGAACTATCGGTACCCCACTTGAAGGGTCTTTCCGGTTGTGTTACTTCTTTTTTTCTTTGCAGAGGACCGCTCTCGTGATTTCCCCTGCGATTTTTGCAAATTTCTTCGAACGCTTGAGGAAATGGCCATTTGTCAAAGGAAGTGGACGCTCGTTTGGTCACAACCGAATGGAAGCCCCATTTTATTCCCTATTCTCATTTCAGCGCTATAACCTCCTTGGTCGCCATGCGTTCGTGGCTCTGATGGCCATCGCCGTTAGATCTATGCAGCTAACATGGCGAGGATTCGAACAAGACGGTTTGGCTAAATACATTGAAGGCAACGAATACGTTTTAGATGAATTGCATGAATTGATTCAGAGGATGCATGACTGAGAGGATTGTTCGGTAAATCAAAATCAATGTCTACTTAGGCAAAAAATCAAAAGCATCATCACCTTTTGTAGAACACTAAATTCGAATAGTTGTTTACGTTTGCCTATGAACACGAAGCAATTTCTATCGACGGGGCCTTGCAAAGCCAACAAGCAACAACCTGCGTATTCTCGACCTAATCCGGGTATTAACATTCCGGCCCGGCCTAAAATCTAATTGTCAAAAACATTCATCGCGGTTTGTATTTACTGTCCTAATAAAACGTTGTTTCAAACAAACGTATTTCTTAACCTGGACATTCTCCCTTGAGATCTGCGACCAGTTGAACCATTGACATACACTTCTACTGATTGTTCTCGATTTGCCTACAGAACTACGATAATAAATCTACCGTAGGCTGTGAATTGTATCGGTAGTAACATATCTATCGTTAACCTAAAAATCTACTGGTGATCTAGGCTGCAGGAACGCCGCGACTTGCAAGATACAGCTGAACGTTTGTCCCAGGCAAGCATCTCGCTCGAGAAGGCGGAAATGCTGACTCGAGGAGTGGCAGGACGGCAATAGGGAAATCTAAGAGTCTGGGATTTAAGCGCAGTTAAAAAAGGAGGAACGCCTTTATTTCCCAAGACTCTTCCTGATCGTTCATTAGAAGTCGATACACGGTCCAACTCCTTTGCTCGACGAGCTGATCTTCGATAGCCTGGATCACTTGCAGCCGGACCCAGCTATGTCGAGGACAGAGTGGGAAGTAGAATCGACTGCATGGAACCCCGCAGGCTGCATCGTTTGCCCTAATTTCAGAATCCGCCTTTTCACTGTTCACAATAAATTCATTAAATTAAATTCAAGCGATTCCGTTAGAGCTCCTTTCGTCCTCTGCTGACGAATAAGCTCAGAGGCGTTCATGTTGGTGTCGCTAGACTTTTGATTTGGCTTGAGCTCGTCCCCCATACATAGCGCTAGTTCGCTGGTAGATGCGCTGCTTTTACGAATCTACAGGCAAAAGATCTTCGCCAGCACGCTGCATACTGGAGAAAGTATAAAAATTATATATAAAGTTCAAAGATATCTTCTATGATGAAAATTTCGGCACCGAAGAATATTATGGCCCAATTATCGATAAGAAGGGTATCACACAATCTGCTGACCAGCCTTCCAGGACCGGAAAGGGATTTCATCCGGAGGCCAAATACTACCGTATCTGGGTGTAGCCCATACTTGGGTCACGTTGTGGTCAAACAAATTACAAATGATATCGCGTTAAACTATAATAGAACAGGACGTGTGATGAAGACGCGAGGCTAATCAAGATCCTTTCATATTACCTCGTTGCCTGCTTACCAACAA